CTGTAACAAAACAGCTGGGGGTGACTCGGGGTCAGCACTGCTGCTTTTGTGACAGGTTTCCTGTGCCTGCAGGATCCTGGGGTGTTGTGTCCCCCTCGATTCCTGCACCTCCACCCTGTGTTTGATGGGCACGTGGGGCCAGATCCACGGTGGTATAAACGTGCAGATCTCAGCTTGTTGTTGAGAACTAACTCACCTTTTTCATTTCCTTTGACCCGGGGGCTGCTTTTTGCAGCGAAAACGAAACAATAATTTAAGGGCAGAGGAAATTTTAATATCCCTCCTCCCAAAATAGCACTTGAGAAGAGTTAAGATCTTTTAGCCTGAAGGACTTGGATAAATGGAGTAGGAGGTTTTTTTATCGCCATCATCATTTATTATTTAATTTCCCCTCTTCAGGTAAAAGTGGGAGACTTTTCTTGCAGCCTGGTTTTATCCCTTTCTGGTGCCATCCATAAATATTTCATTAAGAGCTCCGTGGGCAGCAAGTTTATTCTTGGCATGAACATCCACTGCCTGGAGGGTGGACTCCTCTGAAACATTTATGGGATCCCATAAATGCAACAGGATCCCATAAATCTGAACAAAAAGGAGGAAAAACAATTCTTAGGAAGCACAGCAGGGGATCACCTTGTTTGTTTACCCCACAAGCACAGCGTGCTTCGTGTTTGCTCTCCAAGAAATCTGAATTATTCCCTTAAAAGCACTTTTAGGGTGGGAAAACAGCTTTGTAGGGATAAGGAAAAAGTGAATTGGAAGCCCCAAAGGATCTTAGGAGTCTGACAGTGGGATTTGTGTAAGCCACGAAACTTCTGTGTTGGGTTTCATTGGGAGCCCTTGTGCTGCCACTGGTACCAGTTACCAGCTGCATCGTGGCCCAGTTGAACACCAGGGATGGAGACAGGTCTTCCAGGAGTCCCAACATCCTGGGAAGTCCTGTAGGATGGCTCATGGGTGGCACCAGAACCTCAAAGCCCTCCCACAGCCGACAAGCCCAGCAGCCAATGTTTTCCGTGGGGAAAGGCTGGGCACATGCCAGTGGCACGGGATGTAGCCACTGATTTTTGTTTTAAATACAATTAATTGAATTTTTAATAAAATTCAGCCTCTCTGAGCAACCATCAGCCCAGGGTGAGAAGTTTAGGAATTCCTCGTGGGTGGGGGAATGAGGGACCTCTCCAGGTGCACATCTCAGGGCGAACCACAGCTATTTTTGGCCCCTGTGTATCCACATTGTTTTCTCCATGGATGCAGCAGGGATTTACTAAAAATAAACAGGTATCCAGGGAAGAGGGTGTGAAGGCAGCTGCTCCCATGGGCAGGTGCCAACGTGGAGGTGCCCAAGCCGAAAACACAGCAAGAAACAGCCCCACCAGGTCATGGGAGCAGAGATTTAACCCAGATTTGGTGGTTAATGTTGGACAAGGTCTAGGTCAGGAGGACCCACCAAGGAACACGCCATCCCTGGCTTTCCCCCTTTTCCAAATCACTCTGCTTTCTTCTTCTTTTCTTTGGGAATTGTGGATTTCATTCAGCTTTTGCAGCCCTGAAAACATGGAACAATAGTGGGATGGGGAAGCTCAGGAAGCTGGGGAGCAGGAACAATGGTTGGTGTTGTGTTCTTTCCCCTTCCACATCCCTCCTTCTCCAGGAAGCCTGACCTCTCTGTTGGGTGTTTTCCAGGCTGTTGATCCGCTTTTGCATCCCAAGGGAAACTCAAGGCTGCAGGTCACAGCCTGGTGAGATGCACCAGTGGTGTGAAATGTCTTCCCTTGTTGGTTGAAAGAGTCTTGGAGGTAAAAAATGGCACTAAATCCCGTCCTGGAGAGATCCCTTTTCCCTCTCTGATCCCACCATAGCCCTGCTGGGGCTTTGGAGCTCTGCACACCCCTGGGCAGGCACGTGGATGCCCCTGTGATGGATCCATGGCCAGCAGGGACTTGGGTGCAGGTCAAGGAGGGGATGGAAGGAGCCAATACAGCACCCCAATTGTAAGGACGGGGCTGTTGCAGGCAAAGGAGGCACTGTCAGGACATGTATCCTTCCTTCCATGAGTGTTGGATGTGGAGGGAGCACGGGAAAGCCTTTTGGAGGCTGGTGGTCCATGGACTGGGATGGGGACAACCAGCAGGAGACTGTCCCACTCAGCACACAACAAGAGAGGCAAGAGGGATGTGTTTTAGGAGCCTTCTGGAGGGAAGCCAAGGGTTTTTAGGGATGTGTTTTAGGAGCGTTCTGGAGGGAAGCCAAAGGTTTTTAGCAGTGCTGAATCCCAAAGGTGTCCTCTTTTCCCTTCAGAGCTTCAGTTCTCACTGCTGATGTTTCCTTAGCAACCTCAAAGTGTGTCCAGGGCCTCCAAAAATAGGGAGAGGCTGGGACTGAGATGGTGCCAACTCCCTGCCAGCACAGGGATGGGGCCGGATGGTGTGACCTGTGCCGTGGGGACGTCCGTACATGGATCCCATCCAAGCTTTATCCAACTAAAACACTTCCCAGTGGCCACAGGGCAGTTGGGGCATGGCCCAGCATATTTATCTTGTCTTTGCTTTGTGAGCAAAGACCAGTTTGGTTTTTTGGGGGACAAAAAGGAAGAGCACTTTGGAATGTGTTCCCACCCTCGCCGGGTTCAAGGTGAGGTGGGTGTGAGAGCCCTTGAGCCCTTCCTGTGTGCTCCCCTGTCCTTTGGGAAGGAAAAAGGAGTTTGCTCCGAGCAGCCCCTGCCCCAGAGCTGCAGATTCAGGGCTTTATGCTGCTCTTGGTGTAATTAAAACAAGATGCAGAGAAGGGGTCTTATCCTGCTCTCCTCCGGGGATGAGGAGCCGGGGTGATTAACAGGGATGGGCATGAGGGAGGGAGCTCCTCACAGATTAACACTGGGGGAGGGGGATTAACTTTCGTGGGGGGGGAAAGGACCACGTGGGGGATGAGAGTCTCCACAGCAAATTTGGTTTTCCTCAGCGCTCACTCAACCCCTTCATTCCATGGGGCAGCTTTCCCTTCCCCTGGGGCTTGAAGATGAGGATGCAGCAGGAGCAGGATGTGTCCCCTGTCACTGGGGGATGTGTGATTAACGGGTTCCAAGCCATGTGTCCCTCACAGTTCGTTAAATCCTGGCTCCAGATCCTTCCCTGCATGGTATAGATCTCAGTCATTTAATTACAGATCCTTGGAGGTTTGGTGTGTGGGACCAAAAATCCCATTCCCTGGAAGCTGGGGGTGCTGGCTCAGTTTTTTGGCAACGGTGCAACACACAGGCACAGAGGGGATGGTGGGAAAATGCAATAACAGTAAAATGGGAAAGACTGGGAAGACTGGGAATGGGGTGTCAAAGCTCAGAGATCGTGGCAAGGCTGGAATCTCCAGGCTGGGCAGGACAGGGCAGCACAGAGGAGGCAAAATACCCCAAATTTGTGGTGTAAAATGAATAATCCATGTGATGGTGGTGCTGGTACCAGGACATGGCCAGCACAGATGGGGGCTGGGTGGAAAGGCAGGTTGGTTTTGGGGGGGTAACAAGAGAGGGACCATGGGAGACAGTGGGGTGCTGGGGACTCACCCCATCCCTGGAAGTGTCCAAGGCCAGGTTGGATGGGGCTTGGAGCAACCTGGGCTAGTGGAAGGTGTCCCTGCCCATGGCAGGGAGTTGAAAAAAGATGATTTTTAAGGTCCCTTCCAACCCAAACCATTCTGGGATTCTCTGGTGAAAGAGGTGCCCAGATGGGGCTGTGGCAGTTTGGGGGCAAGTGGGGTGGGGAAGGGTAAATGAGGAGGGGTGACAGGGGGGGTGCAATGCTGGGGGCACACGGGGGGCCGGGGGATGTTCATGTGCTGCAGGGTTTTTTGGGGGCAGTGTTTCGCAGAGGTCAGGGCACATCACCCCGGGGACCTCCGGGTGGGTCTGTGGGGGTGTGTGACACGCTGCTCCGGGGGCTTTGGGATGCTCCAGGAGCTTTGGGATGCTCCAGGGGGGGAGGTCCGTGTCACACGGCCTCGTGGGGCTCCGGGGGATTCGGGACACACCATCCCTCGGGGTTCCAGACCGGGATCCAGGGCACCCCATCCCTCGGGGCTCCGAGGAGTTCCCTCCGTGGGACCTCGAGGGGTCCGTGTCACCCCACCCCAGGGGCAAGTGGGGAGCTCCGGGAGGGTCCGTGTCCCGCTGGTCTTTGGGGCTCCGGGGGGATTCGAGGGGCTCCGTGTCCCCTCGCTCCTGGGGGCTCCGGGGGGGTCTCTGTGTCCCCCCACCCCGGGGGTCTCTGGGGGTCTCTGTATCTCCCCACTCCGGGAGGTTCCAGGGCGTTCCAGGGGGCTCCGTGTCATCCCTGCCCGGGGGTCTCCTTGTTCCCCCTTCCCGGAGCGCTCCGGGGGTCTCCGTGCCAACCCTTCCTTGGGGTTTCCAGGGGGTCCCGGGGGTCTCCTTGTCCCCCCTTCCCGGAGCGCTCTGAGGGTCTCCGTGTCACCCTGCTCCTCGGGGCTCTGTGTCACCCCTTCCCCGGGGCTTCCAGAGGCTCCGGGGTCCTCCCTGTGCCCCTTTCCCGGGGTTTTTTGGGGTCTCCTTATCCCCATTCCCGGGGGGCTCCGGCGGCTCGGACGAGCCCACGCCCCATCACGGGGGGGGGGAGAACACGACAGCTGTAGGAGCTGGACGCGCCCATGAGCGGGTGGGGGGGTGTGTGTGGGCGTGTGTGATGGCACCGGGGGTGTGCGCGCCGGGGGCTGGAGTTGGGCGAGCCCATTCCCGCCGGAGGGGTGGCCGCCCGCATCGCGTCGCTGTGTTCGCTCCCTGAACCTTTGGCTTGTCCACGAATTCCCGACGCCACTCGCTGCGAGACGAGTAAAAAAATTCGAAGATGGACGCTGCGCGGGCAGAAAGGCGCGGAGCAAGGAAAGCAGCGCGGGTGTCGCTCGGCCTCGTCCGTTTCCCCCCCCGCCCGCCGGCGCGGAGTGGTGCGCGCGGCGCGGGGCGGGGCGCGGCGCGGCCGCGGCGGGGCCGCCCCGTCCCTGAGGCGCATCGCGGTCGCCATGGCGCTGTGCGGCCGCTCCGCGCTCCTCCCGCCGCCCCCGCGCCACCGCGCCCGGCCCCGCAACCCCGCCGCCTCCGTCAGGTACCGCCGGGCACACCGGGGAGGGAGGGGAGAGCGGGTGACAGCCGGCGGGAGGGCTGCGCTGAGGGGGCGTGAGGAGGAAGGGGGATGGGGTGATGCGGGGCTGTCGAGGGAGATGGTGAGGCGATAAAGGGTTTGATGTGGCCCAGACTGGGGTGTTCGGAGAGCTGGCTGTGCTGATGGTGGAGAAAATAGGGTTTAATGGCAATTTGAGGTCGTTGGGATGGGAGGGATGGGGGTGTGCAGGGCTTTGGGGGGGGGGGATAGAGGAGGTGCATTAGCTGCGTTAAGGAGGGGTATTAAGGGAGATGATGGGGCGATAAGGGTTTTTTTATGGCCCAAACTGGGGTGTTCGGGGGGTTGGCTGTGCTGATTGCGGAGAAAAATAGGGTTTAACGCCCGTTTGAGGGCGTTGGGATGGGGAGGAGTGGGAGGAGTGGGGGGTGCGGGGCTCTGGGGGTGCTGAGGGGGGCTGGGATAAACGGGCATTAGGGAGGGGTTTTAAGGGAGATGATGGGGCCGTAAAGGGTTTGATGTGGAAGAAACTGGGGTGTTCGGAGGGTTGACTCTGCCGATTGTTGAGAAACCCGGGTTTAACGCCGCTTTGAGGGCGATGGAATGGGAAGGGCGGGCGGCGCAGGGCTTTGGGGATGCTGAGGTGGAGGGGTTGGGGTATTAAGGAGAGGTTTTAGGGGATAGGAGGGGGCATTAAGGGGGTCGGTGTGGGAGAAGGTGAGGTTTTCACAGAGCTGTGACGCCGATTGGGGATAAAATAGGTTTTAATGCCTGTTCGAGGGCGTTGGGGTGGGAAGGACGGGGGTGGGATAGAGGGGTTGGGGCATTAAGGAGGGGGTTTAAGGGAGATGAGGGGGTGTTAAGGGGCTCGATGTGACCCAAACTGGGGTGCTCAGAGAGCTGATAGTGCTGACTGTGGAGAAAATAGGGTTTGACACCTATTTGGGGGCGTTGGGGTGAGCGGAGGAATGGGGGTGCAGGAGGTGGGACAGAGGTGTTGGGGCATTAAGGAGGGATTTTCTGGCGTGCAGGGGGTGTCGAGGTGTTTTGGGGGGTGTTGCAGGGGAGGTTTGGGGTCATTAAGGAGGTTTTGGTGGGGCTGGAGCAGTGGGAGCAGCGTGTGAGGGGCTGGGAACAGGAGGAAAGGGAGTAGCACAACAGGGACAGGCAAATTTGGCAGGTTTGGCTACCAAGAGGGAGGTGTTGGTGGCCCCGACAAGAGGCCAGGCAGGGGCCTGACACGACCTTGTGGATGTGGGGATTGGAAAAGCCGGAATCCTGCTGGAGCAGAGTGTGTGGGAGGCCAGGATGGATGAGGGACAGGGGGACAACAAGGGGAGTTTGGAGGGGGGCTGATGTGGAGGGAGTGGGCTTGGGGTCCTGTTCCTGTGGGGAGCTAAACCTGGCTCTGGTTTGGGAGGGGATGGGTGTGGACTGCCTTGGAGACAGGGAAAAAGGGCTTGGGAAAAGGTAGGAAAGGGGAATTAGGGCAGGGGTAGCCGAAGTTTGGGATGGAGTTGAGGGATTACGGAGAGGAAGGAGGTGGTGCATTTGTGTGGGCACCTGCTGGGTGGTTGTGGAGGGTACAAAGGGAATAAATAACACTCCCTGAGGTTCTGGAATACGTGGGATAGGCCTTGGAGGAGGTGGCGTGTGGGGACATGTGAGATGGTGGCCTGGGCTCTGGGAGCTCGGGTGTCAGCTCAGGTGTCCTGGGGTTGCCAGGGCTCTGTTTCCCTGAGACTTCAGGAGCAGCCTGAAGGGTTTGAATAGAGGACACGGCCTCAAGTTGTGCCAGGGGAGGTTTAGGTTGGACAGCAGGGAAAATTTCTCCACTGGAAGGGTTGTCAAGCGCTGGAACAGCTGCCCAGGGCAGGGGTGGAGTCACCAGGTATTTAAAAGGTATTTAAAAGACATTTCTGTGGCACTTGGGGAAGTGGTTTTGTGGTGGCCTTGGCAGTGCTGGGGTAAGGTTGGACGGTCTCAGAGGGCTTTTCCAACCTTCATGATTCCATGATTCTGTCCCTTAACGCCACAAAGAACAGCCCAGGAACTGAAGTGCTTGGTGCTTTCAATAGTTCCAGCACAATACATGGAAGTATTCACCAGTGGAAAGCCAGATAATAGGGAAACAGGGACGTTGCACGGGAATTGCAGACAAACACTTGGCCGAGCAACCTGGGGGCTGTGTTTGCTGGAGGTTTTCAATGAAAACAAAACAAAAACACTCCCCCCCAAAAAAAACAAACAGCTTTTTATGTTTAGTACAAGAAGGGAACAAAGGCATTTTCACTTTTTTGGACAATGAGGAATTCTGCTCTGAGGGAGAGAAATGGAGGTTGTTCTGCTGGTAACACGTGGACGTGGCTGTGCCGTGCTGGTTGTGTTCCCTCCCTGCCTGCACTTAGAAGTGGCATTGCTCATGAGAGAGAAGCAAAAGTGACCTTTTCAAGTAATATTTTGATGGAATAAATGAATCTTAATTGTTCAGGAAGAGCTCAGTGTTTCTTTAGAGCATCCAAAAACTCACGATCCGCAGCAGAACGCCGGGATGGGAACAAAAAAAGTGCTGCAGGAGAAAATGGTTTCCACTCAAGCCTCTCTCTTCCTGAGTGATTTTTGTAATCTGAGACCCTGTTTTAGAGTTTGTCATGAGAACATTCGGGCTCTGGGAACATCTGCAAGCTTTTGAGCTGCACTAGGAGCTCCAGCCAGCATCTGGAATTTGGCACTTTAGAGGAGCCGTGTCTTCCGTTAATTTTTTTCCTCCTCGACATTTCTTGTTCTTGTGTTCTCTTTTTTTTCTTTTTTTTTTTTTTTTTTTTTTTCAGCCCAGATGGAGGCCAGTGTTTGCAATAAATTTCCCAAGCAGTCAGCAGATAGCAGGCACTTCATAAAAATAACTTGAAACAAAGCAATCCGTGACCCTCCCTCGCCCTGCCCCTGAGTCCCAAACAGGAATGGAAAAATTCTTCAGACTATATAAAGACTGGAGTAAGGGCCAGAGGGAATTCTTGGAGTTCTTCCACAGGCTTTGGAGTTTTGCTGTGCCATGTGGGGAGCAACCCCAGCAAGTAAAGAATGGGTTTGGAAATAGAAATGAAAAATCCCTTGACTAAGGGAGGTAAACTGCCCAAAAAAGGGGATGTTTTTTTGGAGGGTGATGTCATCCTTCCTGTGTCAGTGTTCAGTGGTGAATGAGTGTTTTCCTTCATTTCTGAGCAAAATGTCTGTTACATGGTTGTTTTAAGTATCTCCCCCTGAAAATGAATGTGGGTTTGGTGTGTCTGGGAGGGCTCTGCACCCTCCCAGTTTGAATTCCCTTTCTGTAAAACAGAGCAGGCAAATCCTCCTCATTCATTAGCCCTGCTGGTAACAGAACACAGAATTCTCACCACGTGAGGAAATGCAAAACGAGTCCTTGGCTTAATTTTCCTGTTGTCTCTTCCCCTGTGCTCAACATTCTGAACTGCCCTGTCGCTAATCACAGCCTGGTTAAGGATGTGGCTTTTCCCCTGTGGCTCCAGAGGATCCCTTGGAGGGGTGTTTGGGAGCACAGTGGTGCTGGAAACAAGTTGTTGTGGTGGTTTCCCAACCGGTTTTAACGGGGGGGACCTTGTGTGGAAAGATGAAGTCTGTACCCGAGTGTTCCTGGTGGAATTATGCCGAGGTTCAGGGATTTTGTAACAGCATGGTCTCACTGGATTATTTTTAAGGAGTGCACTGGATTTTAGCAATGCAAAGGCAGAGGTGATTTGACTTGCTGAAGTACAAGAGGGGAAAAAAAGGGAAGCAAACCCCATTCCTTGCATGTGGATGGTTTTCTGCCATGGGAAGGAAGGTGGCTTGAGGTCTGTGCGTGACTGCAGCCGAAGTTGAGAGGGATGTGGAATCAAATGAGTGATGGGAATAGAGAGGTAGAAGGAAAATGGGCCAAGGAGAGGAGCATCCACCCATGGAACCACCCATGAAGCTCCAGCTCAGGTTCCCCCTTTGCAATTGTTTGGATTGAGCTGATGGAAAAGCATCTTGGAGCTTTGTGGCCACGTGGCTGCAGAGCTCGTGCTCCAGGAATGGGAAATTTGAGGCACTGGAGCTTCACTTCTGATTTTTGAGGTGCCAGCCAGTGCCTTGTCCTTCTAAGCAGAGGCAGAACAATCACCCTGGGGCTGCTGCTTCTTCAATTATTGCCTTTTTTTTCAGTGACAATGTTTTTGGAGGGTGAACAGTTGTAGCCTCTGATGTGCCAACGGCATCAGGCAGTTCCAGAGGTTTAGGAAGGAGAGATTCAGGTTTGCTCCTTTGTGCTTTGAAGGTCTCTGAAATGCAGAAAAAAAAATAAATATTAAATGTCCCTGACCATTGGAAGTCAAGAAGTGAGGAATTTGGTCCTGGGAATGCCCACAGAGGTGAAATTTCTTCGTGTCCAGCTTTGATATTTGCTACTTACTGTTCCTAAATAGTTGTTGGATCTATTTGCAGTCAAGACCTCCAGGTTCATTTTAGATAAATTTGGGAAATAGCTGGAAAGTTTTGTATGTTAAACTATGTAAAAATACATATTAAAATACATTAAATTACATTACATAAAACTGTACTTTAAGGCGGGTGAATGCCGTTGTCTTTTGTGAATGCCAAGCAGTAAAAGTTATTATAAGTTATTTTAGTGAGCTATGAAAAAAATAACAAAACAAAAAAACTGAGAAAGCATGTCACTGTTCAAGCTAAATATTAAATTTCAAATAATCTGCTTTTGACATTAATGGAATTCTGAGAGTCTTTAACACGGTCTGACTTCTGGTTTCTGTTTTCACAGCTCCAGTAAGGTGGTGATAATGTCAGAGTGGGGGAAATCCTGGGAAATCCTGGACTCTGTTATATCAGACAGCAATAATAATAATAATGTTTCTGGTAGAAATTGTGAGATCAACAAAAGACCCATAGAAAACAAACTTGATTTTTGGGTGGGGGGGGGCAGAGTGGAAACAGATGGTAGTGACAGCAAGTTAATAAGAAATGAGATTTGGGGGAAAAAAAATAACTTTCCTGTTTATTTACTGATGTTAAATGGAGCAGTTACTGTTCAAAGCGTTGTCTGAGGTAGAGAGCAGGAATCTGTCCGAGCCCTTCCCTGCAGATTCCCCCGGATATGGGAGGATTCTCCCACGCTTGCCAGGGAGAGCAGCTTTTCCCCCTTGTTCGCTGCCATCCATCAAACCTCGGCCACGTGCGGGTTTTTTGGGAGCCTTTGTGGGGGAGGAGCAGCGGAACATCTGCCACGACACGAGAGAAATCCCCCCCCTCTGGCAGCCGGACGGCCCGTGGGAGGGGATCCGTCGGGAATCGGCCCGGGATCCATGGAAATATCGCTGGATTACCACGGCAGGGGAAGGAAGAGCTCGCACGCAGCGCCCAAATCCAGCCGGCAGCGGGGGAAAAGCGGCGCGTTGTGGGGAAAATAACCGGAATTCAATGGAAAATCGGGCGGCGACGAAACGCGTTCGTTCTTTGTGCTGGAGAAAGGCAGAGCTGTTAATATTCCCTTTATTTGCCAACAGCCGGTGCCTCGCAGCGCCGTGTCTGTCCCCGAGCTGTGACAGCCCGGCTGTTGTAAGGCGAGGTGCTTTGCATAATTAGTGTGAAGACGTGAACAGATGAGCACTAATTCTTAGAAGTTAATGATTGTCAATTATCTTCCACCCCCACCTCCCTTTTTTTGCCTTTGGATCTGGTCCAAGATCAGCAGAAAATCGAGCACCTCAAGGTATAGTTCCTTAATTGGCCCAAACACCCTTTTTATTGCCAGATGTCACCCCAAACGGTGGCTTTGCCTTTTGACCTGCCTTCATCAGCAGTCAGCTCAGCTTTGCTGCTCTTGGAAAGCGTCGTTTTCCTTCTAATTCCCGGCCTGGAGGTTGTTTGGGTCCGTAAGCTGATCCGACTTGACACATGGCTGCAGGATCGTTAGTGCGGACACAAAGGCAGCGGGAAGGGCGAGGCCGCCCCTTGGAGCATCTTATCCCGCCTCCAAACCGTGCAGAAATCACATCTTCTGGCCAAAAAGTGCTGGGAAAATTCCCACTTCCCCTCCCCTGCAAGTTCTTGGCCATTCCTGAAGTTGCTTTGTGGGATGTGGAATCATAAACAGCTTCCAGCTCTTGTCCAAACTCATGGGAATGGAGAAATCGTTGAATGAGTTCAATGGAAAAATCTCATTGAAGGATTTCGGGGCTTCCTTAGGAAAGGCTTCATGAAGCTGTGCTTCCAAACACACCTGATGGAACAAATGACTGTCCATTTAATTGTGGTTAATGGATATGGGGGATCCAGAGCCACATCTTCCAGGGAAGAAGCCCAAATCCCAGAGTGCTGTGCCGTGGTGTGGAAACCTGTCATTTGTTCTGTCCTTCTTGGTGGTTTCTGTTGGAAATTGTGTGGCTGTGGTAAAATGCAGAGGAGTAAAAGTCAGTGCCCTTGCAGGGAGCTTGCTTTGGAGTCGGGAAAAGCCGTGGATTTTTGTTCCCAGGACAGTCCCTTTGTTTTTGTCAGATGGCTGGTTAATGTGAAATGCAAGAAAATGCCTTTTTCCCCCCTCCTGCCCCGACTTTATACCCAGTTTAGCCTGTATTGTTTAAAAGCATGTCATAAGAATTCTAATTATTCTCTTCCCTGTCTCTCAAAGGCATCTTTCTCCAGGCACACAAGTCTGCTGTGTTTATTGTCAGCCTTTGAATGTGATGCTTTATCCACACTCGAGATGACGTTGGGAATATTTCTGGGAAGGAGCTTTTTCCAAGGATTCTCTCACAGAAACCACTTCTTTAAAGGAGGAGAAAGCAAAAATGTTCTGCTGAAGGTTGTTCAGTGTTAAGAATGAAATAAAACCATCTCTCTGGCCATTGCATCTCATCATGAAGTCATGAACTTGTAATTTGCCCTTTTGTGTCAGGACTGTCTCCTGCCACCCAGATTTACCTGGCAGAAGTATTTTAGCAGCTTAATCTGAGAACTTCATATATTTTTAAGGAAGGAAAGAAATACCCACCCCAGAACAAACATGCAGGTACTTTCCTCCCCCAGTTCCTCTTCCCTTTTTTTTTCCCACTGCAGTTGACTTGGACAGACCAGAAAATACTTTCACAGAGCTCAGGAAGACAACAAAATAGGTGTATTTTTTGTTTTTCTCTGCTCTGGTCTCCTTGCACAGGCTCTTAAAGTTACTTTTTACTTTAAAAGATAAATGTGTTTGGGTCAGCCTTTTGGGGAAGACATTGAAATTAAGATGTAAAGATCTTAGGAATGGGTTACCTTGTACCACATATATATATAAAATATACATAATGATAATGGTTTTTAATAAATGAAAATATCTTTCCCTGTGAGTTTTTGACCTTGTTCTTTGTCAAACTGAGTTCTAATCATTCTTTTTTTTTATAAAAGGGATCAGTGTGGGGGGAAATATTAAAGCAAACTCAATTTCTGTATTCCTGCTGTGTTTATAATGCACAAGAGGTTTCAGAAATGTTTCACTCTCCAGAAAAAGCTGTGTTTGGCTGGAGAATTCCTTAAACTTGCCTTCAGAGCTGAACACAGGTAGCAGAGGGATTATTGCATCTCCTTTCTGAGGAGCTGAGTGAAAAATCTCCCCCTTGTGCCCTCAGATAGCAACATTATAACGTTCCTTCTGAGGACAGTTTCTCTCCTCACAACTGGTAAATGTTTTAATAAAAGTCTGCTTGCTGTGTCCCTGCAGAAGTCCTTGGCCAGGCTTTCCCATGGTCCTTCCAACCTGTCCTTCAGTTACTCCGGGAATCCTGGAATTGCAAGACAGCTGAGAAGCATTTTGAGAAGCATTTCGCTGATGTGCAGCTTTGTACATGAAGTTATTTCATTTTCTTGTTGTTTTTTAACAGAGGCTTTAGCAGTTCTGCCTCCCTGCAGCTGGTCCTGAAATAGCTGTGGGCTTGTTTCCATACCAACAAATGAAATAAGTCCAATTTGTGCCCACAGGGAGGTTTTTCTTGGTCTTGTGACATGGGAAGTATAAAAATATGAGCACTAAACAAAAATATCCAAGCACAGTTTGTCTTAGTGGATCATCTCACCCAGCTCATCTGGGGTCCTGCTTGAGGATGGGCCAAAAATCTCCCAGAATGAGATAAAACCCCTTAATTTTGGATAGTTTTAGGTTAGGGTTTGGAGAACGAATAATTAGAAGTTGCTAAAATGTGCAGCATAAAGTTCAGTGTGTTGTTTTCATTCATTTCCTGGCACCCCCTCCATGGGCAAACATCTGATAGCACCTGATTAAGTGTCTCTTTGCTGTCATCACTGGCTTTAATTCCTGTTTCCATATTTAACATCAAACTATCCATTCATGCATCCAGCCTGGTGTGTCACAGGAATCAGGAAGTTTGAGGCAAAAAGAATCATTGAGGGTGACCTAAAAAGGGACAGAATTAAAGCTGGAGTGGTTTGCACTGATTTTTTTTTTTTCTGTGAAAATATTCCAGATATTGCCTGTCCTTCCCTGTGGATGTTGGGTTTCCCTTGGATTGGCCATAATGGAAACCTTTTTGTCCTTCAGAGAAAGTAGAGCACGATAATTGTAGTGTTGCTGAAAAGATCTATTTGCTTTTTTTGATGAAAACAGAAATATTTGACCCGACTGTTGTTGTTTGTTTGAACCGCTCATAAATTCAGCTCGGTTGGAGTGTTTCTGTGAGAGGCATTTGTTTCCCAGAGCCGAACAGTTCTATAAACAAGAAAACACATTCAGGAATATCAACAGTGAAGTTTCTTGTCTTTTATCTGTGTTTAAACAAGCTCGCAGAGCGTTGCCTGGAAGCACAAATGGCTTTGCTCTCTGCCTGCCTGCCTGTCGTGGATGGAATTTTTCCCTGGTTTGAAGATGGATATTGAACAACTGAATTAAAATTTACATTGTGAACTGTTCACTTTGGTAATGAAAAATCTGGGCGAGACTTGGCATCGCTTCATTTCTTTTTTAATGTTGGGCTCGATGATCTTGGAGGTTTTTATCCCAAACTTAACAATTCTGATGTAGATTATCAAAGATAGATTTATAGTTTTTCTAACTGTTTATTTTCATGGTTTATGGAAATAATCCCGTGATTTCCTTGGGCATAGAGGGGGAAAATTCCTGCTTTTAGGATTGCACTTGCCAGAGGTCTGGGATGTGCCTGGATTTTAAGGGTGGAAGTGCCCTGGAGGTGCTGAAACTCATCGTCCCCAAACTCCTGTTGGGATGTGGGTGCTCCTGCAGTCCCAGTGTCACCTTTCTGTGTGGCCATCACCCACCCCATGGCTGCAGGGAAAGGAATTCCTGGTACCCTGGTGAGAGCAAACCTGCCCAGCAATTTTTGCAGGAGATTAGGGATTAACAGAGCACGTGGTTGGAAGGGACAGTTCCAGGTTCCAGTCTTTTCAGGGCTCTGGATTTCAGCTTTTAGTGGGCAAAAAGAACCCAGAATGGTTTGATATGAGGCCTGAATGTGTTTCAAGCACAAAATACCCAAGTTGAAGTTCATATAATAAAGGAAAAAGCTCAGTCAGCTCTTGAGCCTCCAAACCTGACATTTCACAACAGTGACCTTGAGGACAAATTCTCTTCTCTTTTGCAGCTGCAGCCGCCTCCGAAACATTCAGAGTATCCTGACACAGAGCAGCAAATCCCAGCCTGATGGAATCCTCTGCATTTTAGGTTAGTTTGACATTTTTCCCCCTTTTATTCTCACTGCACTCAAAAAGACACCACAAATTTATAGAGGGATGAAGGTCGTTTTCCTGCCCCAAGCCCCAGCCTGGTTTCTCAGGGAAGGAACAGCTGATTGTTGCTCTCTTTTCTCCCTAAATTCTTCAGCCCATTTACTAATTTAATAAGGCAAAGAACTTCAAGGAGTTGCATGAGAAACCCAGGAGCAGCTAGGATTTAACTGCTGGCACATAAACAACCTCAGTGGTTTCAGTGCTTTATTCCTTCTGGAACTGGGAGAAAAGGGAAAGTAGGAAATAAAGGAGCATTTGCAAGTGTGCTCTGGGAAAGCAACAGGGCTTTGTGCTGCTTTATTATAGTTAATATAATGTAATATTGACTATGGTTTCTTTTTATACAGTCAGTGTCAAGATATTAAAGGAAGAATTCAGAAATGATAATTGAAATTTTTTAGAGAAAAGGACGGAGGAGTGATTGTTTGAACAATGGATCACAGTTAAGGATGGAGAAGTGTAGCCCTGAAGAAGCTCTGTGTGAGAAATGATACAGCAGCCTGGGTTTTTTTTTTATGTTATTTTATTTTAGCAAGCAAATTTGGAGCTCAATTACTGAAACACACACAAAAAAGTTGTAAATGTGTATAACGAGGTTGTCCTTTGGCCCGTGCAAACTGTACCACGTGGTTGTTCCCATCCCACGTTTTCCAGGGTCAGGCTTTAAGTCTTTGGCTGAGCAGCAACTGGACAGTCAAGAAGGTCTGTAAGGTCACTGTCAGCCTTCCAGTGGGACTTCTTCATGCAGGATAAACTCCTTGGAATTTGCCTGTGCTGCTCATTTAATGTCATAAACGAGGCTGGGCCATCTCACCGCTGACACCGGAGTGTTCGTGGGCTGGTGTTGGCTCAGAGCTGGAAGTCCCAAGCAAAGAACAGCCACTCCAAACATTCCACAGCTCCAGGGAAAGTGTCCCAGGCAAAAGGAACTGCTTTGTGTAATCCTCAGTGTCACATGGAGGGTTTATTCCATTCATAGGACCGTCCCTCTTTAATAACTAAGCCCTTGTGGGATGGAAATATAGGAACTGTGTGCTGGGGGCAGGTTTGGGCTTTGCCCTGGTCTCTCAGCACCCACAATGGGGCTCTTGTGTGCTCGTGGAGCCTGCAGGATTTCTGCCATAGCTTCCATGTCACTGCTATAAATGCATTAAATCTGTCATCAAATACAAGCTTCAGCTGACAAAAAAAACCAACTCATGTAGTTTTACATCCTGAGTCCTGTTGGCTTGTGTGGAAAGCAGATACTCCTAACTATGGTTTTTTTACAGTCAGTGCATGTTTTATTTCACTTGGCTGCCTTTAATGACCTGAGTTATGCACTTCCTCAGCCCAGCTTTAGTTTCATACTGGGCTGTGAGTTAAAACCAGTATCAACTTTCACAGCTTTGCTTCAAGTTCATTAATATTTGTACTGAAATTAAACCCAGCATTGGGTGAGAACTGACCCAGTATTGATACAAGTCTTTAAATGTACTTACAGCTGATTTGGTTTTTTTTTTTCTAAAAGAATGCCCTAATCTGATTGTGAAGTGGTTGCCTGGTAGCATTCCTGCATTCTTTGCTGGGGAGAAAAGACATCACAACTGACAGGAAAAAGGAATTGGGAGGTTGGCATTTGCTTTTTATCCTCCCCAGAGAGCTTGGGGGACTTTACAGGCTGTGCCAGCAAATCTTTGAGTTTTATTTTATCTCGATTCTGTTCAAGTACTGCTACTTTTTTAGATTATTTTTTCTCCATTGTATGCATCTGCTCAAGTGTTACTGCTTTTTTAGATGATTATTTTTTTTCCTCCATTATATCCATCCCACACAAAGCTCTTCCTTGCTGAGGTTTCTCCCACATCCCGAGAGCATTTAGTTCATTGTACCAATTTGTTCATCCCGTTGCTTTTCCAAACAGAGACTGTTTTAAGGATTATTGTGCATCTTCTGCTGGGAGTGTGTTGGTTTGGGGCACATCCCTGGAGGTGACCTGGCTCCCTTTTCCAGTCTCACCTTCCTGCTCCCTCCTCTGTGGATTTTGCACCAGCGCTGCTGCTTTGGTGTCCTGCCCCCGCTTCATCTTCCCGAGCAGGCAGATTTTTTTTATCTCCCCGCGTTTAGCCAGACTCTTTTCTGCCAATTTAGCAAATTTAATGCGCTCTGACTGCAGGCCAAGGAGCAGGAGCAGCTCCTGGGAGCTGGGATTGAGCCATTGTCTAACGACACCCTTGTGCCGAGCTGGGAACAGGCGGGGGAGTGACTGAACTCCCGGCTCAGCTGGAGACAGGCGTCGGGCTTTCCTAATTAATGGCCTTGCCATTGTTCTGGGAGGGCTCCTGATCTGCTCTCCGGGGTATCTTATCGCTGGCATTGTTCCATTTCCTGTTTGTTTTCCGCTAATGTATCTGTTCTTTAACTCCCGGTGTTTCTGGAGAGTGACGCTAAACCTCTCACTGGGAGAGCTCCCGCCTGCCCCGGGCGCTTAAAACCCCAAACCAACCCCAAATATTCTGCAGAGTGAATGGTTTTATAGGAAAGCAGTGCCTTCCCCCCCCCCCCTCGGGCCTGAATAAATTCACCCGTGTCCTGACAGGAGTTAATCTTATCAGCTGCCCCCCTCGTTTAACATCTTTTTGTTTTCTCTCCCCCTCCTTGTCATTAACTGAAAAAAGCAGGGCTTTGGTGTTGAGCTTGGGAGATCTTCTCTGCTTGAAGCCTGTTGGGCTGGTGCACCCAGATAAAACCTCAAACTCTTCAAGTGGTGGTGACATCATCACTATTTTTTTTTTTTAAATGAGGACAGTTCCTCATTTTTCTTCTGATCTTCCAGAAATTATAACAATGGAATCATAGAATGGTTTGGGTTGGAAAGGACCTTAAAGGTGATCGAGTTCCAGCCCCCTGCCACGGGCAGGGACACCTTCCACTAGCCCAGGTTGCTCCAACCTGGCCTTGGACACTTCCAGGGATCCAGGGGCAGCCACAGCTTCTCTGCCCAACCTGTGCCAGGGCCTCACCACTCTCACAGACAGCAATTCCTTCCCAGTATTCCATCCATCCCTGCCCTCTGGCACTGGGAAGCCATTCCCTCTTGTCCTGTCCCTCCATCCCTTGTCCCCAGTCCCTCTCCAGCTCTCCTGGAGCCCCTTTAGGCCCTGCCAGGGGCTCTCAGCTCTCCCTGGAGCCTTCTCTTCTCCAGGGGAACCCCCCCAGCTCTCCCAGCCTGGCTGTGCCATTATTGCTCCTCTGAGGACCTTCAGGAGTTGCCTCAGTTGGACAAATAATCAGTGACACAGATAATCCCCAGGACATTGTGTGTGCTGCCTTTCCAAGGCTGATTCCAAGGAGACTGATTCCACTGAAATGTAGCTCCCTAAAACAATGGGACAGTTGTTTCCTGGATGAAGGGAATCTCCACACTTGCTTGTGACTGAAGTCCCACCTGGACACGAGGCTTTGGCAGCAGTATCAGTGTGCTGAGTCCCACTGAATTCCAGATTGCACTGGGCCTGCTCTCATGGGGTTGCAAATGTCCATAAAATAGAGGGACAATGTGTCCTACCTTTTGTGCCCTCTCTGTGAGTTCCCAAATCCAGGGAAATCTGGTTATGGAGAAAATTATTGGCACAGCAAAGCCAACATTGCAGGAGGGGAGAAATGAGTGAGTGGGTCTGAGCATCCTTTAGCTGAGTCTTATCCATGCCATGATCTGAGTTAGAGTGATATTCCTGTGTCTTGATATTCCCTGTACCAATTCCCCTGAACATCTCCAGGGATGGGGAATCCAGAGCATCTCTGGACAACTCCAAGGAGTGCAGTGATGTAATTTGGGAATTTGAAGGGATTGCATTTGCCCGTTCCACAACCTTACACCGAATACCAGATATTTTGGAATACACAAGAACTGTCCAAAGGCCAGTTAATGAACAAACAGGGAAAATGAAGAGGTGGGATTCAGTAGCTGGATGCAGACACAGCATCTTGGTAGCACTTTAAAGCTGAAACATAACATAAAAAATGGAGCATCATTAGGAAAACCTGAGATTTATCCCAATTTCTGGTAAGTTCAGGTGACTTTTGACTTCCCATTCAGGTCCTGAAACCCCGACACATCCAGGCCATGTTGTGACATTCTCAGTGTCCTCATCTTTCCTCTGGACAGTGGGAACAAATCCTGATTTGCTGGCAACCCTCCAACTGTATCCTAATGTAACTTGGTGGGAAAAGTTGACTTTGGAGGAATTTTGTGGCAGTCAAGTGACCTCTGAAATGTGGATGTCAAGGCTGCTGTTCATCCATTTGTGGAGCAAACTGGATTATTACAGTAGAATTAGGAATTATGGCTGTGACTGTCACGCAGAGAGATGGAAATACTTTATAAATCTGCATTTATTCCCTTCCTTGTGTTTATCTTTTCTCTCTTCATGCTCCAGATCTTCAGTTGTTTTCACTGGATTTTTCCCAAGGACCAGGAAAGGCTTTTCCTTTGGAATCTCTTTACACTCCCTGTGTCTTGTCAGGACATCTTTCCATGATGTGCCAGAAGTCTGGGCTGGCTCTGGTGACTCAGGGATTGCACCATAACACTGATAAGATAATGTTTAATCATGTATTCCAAAGCAGGAGATTTGGGTCACGGGATTAGTTTGTTAGGAAGCTTCAATCAAGAACATATTAATTAGAATGTATCCTGCATCCAGACAGATGTCTGAATTACTGGATAAAATGGAACTTCTGGTGCAGAGCGCTGCAAAAAAATAGATTTATTTCATTTTTTTTTTAAGCAAAACCTGTGGATTTAGGTCAAAAGTGGGATGTGAACACGTGGCAGTGAACTTGTAAAAATTCCTTTTTTCCTACTCTTCTCCCAGTGTGTTCAACAGGAATAAGTGCTCCCTGACTGTGTGAAGGAGTTAATTAATAATAAGTGCTCCCTGACTGTGTGAAGGAGTTAATTAATATTCCTGCTTTGGGGGCTTCTTACTGGGGGAGAAAACAACCTTTTGAGGTGTGCAGTGTTAGTTCACACAACATTGACATGTGACTGCAGAAAACCGGATTTTTAAAATTTTTTTAAGCAATATCCATGGATTTAGGTCAAAATTCCACGTCAGAATGTGACACTGAACTTGTAAAATCTCCTTTTCCCTACCCTGTTCTCCCAGTGTGTTCAACAGGAGTAAGTGCTCCCTGTGTGAAGGAGTAGAGTTAATTAATATTCCTGCTTTGGGGGTTTCTTATTGGGGAGGAAAACAACTTTTTGAGGTGTGCAGTGTTATTTCACACAACATTTGACCTGTGGTTTTGGTCTTTCAGGGATAGACAGTCGATACAATGAAGGCTGCAGGGAGCTGGCAAACTACCTTCTCTTTGGCTTATACAACCAGAACAACAATGACTTTGAGAGGACAGGCTTTCCTGAGGAGGTGCTTGATGGTGAGGAACCTGCTCAACGTTTTTACCTGCTCTTTAACCTTCCTGGAGGGAAATGGAGCAGAAAAAGTGGGATGGAAAACAAAAAAATTCATTTAATCTCAAATTGTGTTTGTACTCCTGAAAACAGTTCTTAAAGACACCAATGAGGAACTCATTTTTAAATTTAAAAGACATATTTCATGTGTTTTATGCTCCACAAGTCCCTCAAATGTTATAAACTTAACCAGAGGCCATTAGTTGAGTCACTTGGAGAGGACAGGCTTTCCTGAGGAGGTGCTTGATGGTGAGGAACCTGCTCAATGTTTTTACCTGCTCTTCAGCCTTCCTGGAGGGTTATGGAGCAGAAAAAATGGGATAGAAAACAAAAACAGTCTTTAAATCTCAATGTGTGTTTGTACACCTGAAAATGGTTCTTAAAGACACCAACGATTAACTCATTTTTGAACATTAGAAGATATATTTTGTGTGTTTTACACTCCACAAGTCCCTCAAATGTTGTGAACTTCAACAGAATCCCTTAGTTCAGTCCTGGTGTGTGTGCACACGTCATGAATTACTGTGATCACACCTCTGCAGCTCTAAAATACTTGAGCTCTTTTTCACTTCCCCAGCTCACCTTTGTGACATTTGGAAGGTGGCCAGTCCACCGTGCTGGTGGATTATTATTCCCTTATTTGCATGAAACTTTGGATCTCCACCCCCTAGGCCGTGCTGGCCTCTTGGAGCTGGAGCAACTTGCTGATGTGACATCAGGCAGGAGCAGCTGGAGTTCAGAGCTCTGGGAAGGCTCATCCCAACACTCCTGGCTGCTCCAAGGACAGGCTGATGCAAGTGCTGTGCAAGAGCTTGGAATAAGCCCACAGTTGTCTGGAACTGTAACAAGTGCTGTGGTGCTCAGAGCCAAACTGTTTCCTTTTCTTGTTGCAAACAAATCAGGAGTTCCTGTGCACTCACACAGTCCAACAGTTTTCTTTTCATGAGGTTCATGATACAAAAGTGTTTTCTCTTCAGTTTTTTATGCCCTTATCGTTCTGTGTGGGGACTCCTGGTGCTGCAATAATGTTTCTTCTGCTCCTTGCAGATATAATCATATTAATCAAACCTGACAGTGTTCATCTGTACTGCAACCCTGTGAATTATAACCAGCTCCTGCCCTATGTGGCTCACTGGAGGAACCTGCATTTTCACTGTCTCACTGAAAATGAGGTGAGTGACAAATGAGCGCAGACAAGGATCGCTAATGAACTTGTTAATGAACTGATATTTAAAGTGGAACTTTCTTTGACATCCTTCCCAGAAGCCTTTCTTCCTTTTCCTCCTCAGCAGGGGAGTGATCTGGGTGTCTGAGTGGGGATTAATCATTTGCAAGAAGAATATGATGTCAATACTTTTTGTGAAGACAAACGGCTCCCCTCTCCCACTAATTACCATTGTTTTGACATGAGTCAGTGATCTTTTAATGAGGGAAAACATGTGGGCTGTGAGAAATGCAAAATCTGAATCAAGCACCACAGTCAACACTGAGATTTCCAGCAATAGCCCTTTTTGCTGCCAGGGCAGTGTTTGAATTCATTGATTGCCAGTAGTTTAAGAATATTAGAAAAGATCAGCTTAGAAAGCAATTAAAAATGTAGAAATTTTATTATGTATTTTCATTTTAACTCTCAAATCTTTCTTTCAAGAACTAGTAACTGCACCACATGGTGATTCTTGCACCACAAGTTTCTTCTTGCATTTAAAAATGAAGGTGTTTTCTAGAAAAAACTGTGTTTATTGAAGTACTGTTAGAGGAGTTAAAAATAAAAGTACTGCCTGTCTAGGTGTAGAATAAGGACCTTTACATTCCAGTTGAGAGTGGAAATGCTTCTTCCTTAATTGTGTAGTTCCTTTTCTAAGTTAGAATGACACTGAGATCCCCAGGGAGTGGGTTTGGAGCTGCAGTGTCAGAGAAGTGAAGCTGGTGCAAGAATGAACAGGAAGATCAAGGAGAGAAACCTTTTGCTCCCTTGAGCTTCCAGCTTGAAGGTGATGGGGCTTCTGACAAATTAATTGTGTTTTCTTGTGGCTGGCTGATGGTTTAATCACAGAATTAGGAAATAATTCAGGTTATAAGACACCATCTTGTCCAACCTCTTGCCTAAGGCAGGGTGGGTGATGAGATCAGATCAGGTTACTCAAGGTTTTCTTGCAGCTGGATGTTGAAAACATCCAAGGATGATGCCTGCAGAGCTTCTCTTGGCTGTCTGCTCCATTTCCTGGCTGCCCTCACAGTGAAACAGGGTTTCCTTTTGCCAAATCTGAACCTCTCTTGTTTTGAGTCATCCCTTTGTCATGACCACTGTGGAGAGCTTGGCTTCACCATCTCAACAGTATTTTGGTGGGTGTGGGACAGAAGCTCTGAGGTCCCAGCTTTTGGAACAAAGGCTCCATCATCATGGTGTCCTTCCACTGCCCTTACTCCAGTTTGCCCATGTTTTCCTGGTCCCTGGATCCCAAAACTGTTCTCAACCCAGTCCCATCAGCGCTTCAGACAGGGAGAATTCTTGATAAAGACACAAACAACCGAGCTACAGGTTCAAACCTGCTGTGGCAAAACCTAAAGCCTGGCCTTGTAAGGCTTTCCTGCTGCCAAAACCCCTGCAGGAAGGGCAAATCTGCTGGTGTAAAACACGTGTATTTTGGACTCAGGAGTGGAGCAGCTCCCACCAGCCTGTTGCCAGTGCAGCTGCAATCTCAGCTATTGCATTTTAAGCTCCATCTGCTGCCGGGCTCTGATATGATTTATCGGGGTAAGTCCTACCCTTAATCACACAGTGCTGCCTGGAAAGAATGATGTAACCACAAAGGTGATCCATGGGCCTTGTTATTTGTGGGAATGAAGGCAAAGGTTTGATTTTTTTTTTTTTTTTTTTGAAGCTGAAAATGCAGTTTTGCTTCACTGCTGAGCACTTCCAGCCACGTTCCCAATGTATGTGGAGTGCCTGTTTCCCTGATTACTGCTGAGAGGGAAACAAAACCTTGCTGTGTCAGGCTTTAAGTACATCCTGTTTATAGGAGGATTGTGGCTTTTAAGCCCTTTTTTTTTTTTTTTCAATAATAGGAATAACTTTTACTTGCTTTTAAAAACATGGAACCAAAAAAGCACAAAGGTTTTAGGAATAAATAAAGCAGTGCTTTACCTGGCTCTGGCAAAACCTGCAGCATCTCCTTCCTTTCTTCCCACTTGCTTTTGACTAGACCACAGGAATATAGGGGAATATCCTTAAAGGGAGAAAAAAAAAATCCTCATATATTTAAAAAATGCCCATTTTCAAAATGGCCAAATAGGATAAAGTGGTGAAATTTGATGCAGTAAATTTTGGGGTGTCTTGGCCTTACCTTTCATGGAACTGGCTGAATTTATTCCTGCAAGAGCAGCCTGGGAGCAAGCCTTTAGCACCCTGCCAAACTCCCAAGTTTTTATTCCAGTGGCATTTTTGAGCCTTGAGAAACTGGCAGTTGTTTGGGGCTTGGCTTTGAGCTGGGACTTTGATCTGATTTCCTGGGATTGAAGAAGGAACATGGAGGAACTGGGGCTGCATCTCAAATTCAGGCTGGGCTTAAAAGAACTTGTTCCTAAAATAAATGAGTTGGGTGTACCCTGGAGCTCACAGGAGCTGTACTCAACAAGTTCATAATCATGTCATTTGCCTTGATAAGAAGTTCAGAGCACTGTATATAAAAATATAAATAAAATAAAATAGGCAAACCACCACCGCCTTCTGATCTTGCTCCAGAAAACAAGTGACTCTTGGAGGAGTTGGTTCCAGATTTGCTGCTGAACTGTTACCTTTTCAGATAAAAAACAGTGTGTTTCCAGGTTTATTTTTTTCCTGTTATAAGCCTGATTTTAGTGTGATTTGTCTCTTCAGTGTAGTTTTTGTTTTTCTGACCCACAACATTTGTTCCTCAGTCTGCTGAAGTCTTCAGTGACTTCAGTCATGAAGCAGCAAAATGGTGCTGCATGGTGGTGTCTCCTTTCCTTCTCCTTTTCTTACAATCCACCTCTCCCTCTCACAGCTATTCCTTATTCTGTGTCCTGATCATTTTGCCTCAGGGCCATGTTTTTTGTGGCACATTTTTTTTGTGGCACGTGGGTCGGCATTCTAAAAATACCTTTAATTTTTTTAATGTAGTGGATGATACTGAAAATCTTCGCTGAGAGCTGAAAATAAAGTATATAATTATACCTTCATCTACCAGTATTAAAAAACTTTCTCTCAAGTTTTTTTTTTTTTTTCAAAAGAACTGTTTCCAAAAGGATGATTTCCGTTGGCTTCGGTGCCGTCGCTGCCGTGCTGGAATTTCTAACGCAGGGAGTAAAAGAGATGCTTTAGCTCCTGGAAGTTGTAGGTGATATTTTAGTGGTTTACATGCTACATATTCACTTGCTTACCAAACAAATCAGGGCTTGCCTAATCCAGCTTGATTTTTAAATGGCTTCTTTCAGTATGAAGACGAAGAAGCCGCAGAGGAATTCAAGATCTCCAGCTTTGTGGACATGGTCCGGGACTGCAGCCGGATCGGGATTCCCTACAGCTGCCAGGGTAGGTTGGGTTGGTTTATCCTCAGAGCTGAAGTGTTTTGAACATCCAAGTTCAGGGAATGGAGATTTCCTTGCCTTTGGGAAGAAATAAGCATTATGAAGTGTGTCAGTAGGTTCCTTTCAGCCTCTTTTTCCTTCAGAGGTGGATTTTTTTTCTGCCGAATTCTATTTCTGAGGAGTGGAAGCCCCCGGACTGGATCCGAGGAGGGAACACTCACAGTGTGAGGCAGAGGAATGATTTGCATTCAGAGAAGTGTGTTGTGCTGCTACAGAAGTTCTCTGTTCCCATGGAAGCTCCAGAGAAATCCTCCTTTATTTAAGGGAAGAATAAACGTTTCGTTGTGCAAGTTTCCCTTTTTAGCGCTGAAAGAGCTGCCCAGCACGGCTTCCTGTTGGGCTCTGGAGCCAGCCTTGCAGCCTCAGCACTGTAATCTCACATTCCTTTTTTATTCCTAATTCCCAATTGCTTCCTTTGAGGAAGGGGTGATAAGCTCTGACTGCCTGGAAGGTCATTAATGGTTCAGGGCAGGGGGGAAGGACAGAGGTTCTGTGTTAGGCAGGATCTGAAGAAGGTGTGGAGCTTAAGGGTGGCAGTCACACTTCATGTGGTTTACAGCTGCTCCAAGGAGTGCAGGATGAATAATTTTTCTCCCCCCTGACTTAAAATTATAATTAAATGGGGATGATGGAAGAAATTCTTGGCTGTGAAGTTGATGAGGCCCTGGCCCAGGTTGGGTAGAGAAGCTGTGGCTGCCCCTGGATCCCTGGAAGTGTCCAAGGCCAGGTTGGATGGGGCTAGTGGAAGGTGTCCCTGCCCATGGCAGGGGGTAGGACTGATCTTTAATGTCCCTTCCAACCCAAACCATTCTGTTATTCTGTGACAGTGTTTTACTCAAGAATCAAAACCACTTTTCACTTAAATATTTCCAGTTGTACAAAGGCAGGTTAATCGAGATCCTCTGCGAATCCAGGCCAACTGGGAGACCTCCCGGAAAGTTAAACTGCCAGGATTTGTGAGGGGATGTCCCTGTGCTCCCTGTCCTTTGCAGGTCACCTGCAGATATTTGACATGTTCATCGTGGAGAAGTGGCCGATCGTTCAGGCCTTTGCTCTGGAGGGGATCGGGGGCGACGGCTTCTTCACCATGAAATACGAGGTGAGTGCCTCCATTTTCACTTCCTTTCTGAGGCAGGAGTTAATCATGGAATTATCTCACTTGGAAAGTACCTTTTGAGATCGTCTAGGCCTGACTCACAGCTCAGGGGAGGTTCCAAATTGGATGAAGTTTTTCGGGATGTTGTGAAGCTGAGTTTTGAATGTGCCTGGAAGAAAACACCACAGTCTTGGTGGGAGACTGTTCTGAGCTCCACAACACCCTGTCCTGGATAAACCAGGATTATTTGGTCACCCTCTCTAACCCCTTATTGTGATTTAGAACTGTTTTCCTTTCCTTCTGGAGTCAACATTGCCAATAACCCAGTTTTTTGGGCTCTGCTAGGTGGGTTTCAGACCTTCCTAGGTGGGTTTTAGATCTTCTTACACAGGTTCTAGATCTTCATGGATGGGTTTTGGATCTTCTCACACAGGTTATAGATCTTCCTGGATGTGTTATAGATCTTCCTGGATGTGTTATAGATCTTTCTAAATGGGTTATAGGTCTTCCTACATGAGTTATAGATCTTCCTGGGTGGGTTATAGATCTTCCTGCATGGGTTATAGGTCTTCCTGGATGTGTTATAGATCTTCCTAAATGGGTTCTAGATCTTCCTAAATGGGGTCTAGATTGTACTAAATCAGATCCAGACATTCACATTTTTTTTCTAGATCTTCTTAAATGGGTTTTAGATCTTCTTGGATGGGTTATAGATCTTCCTAGATGGGTTTTACATCTTCTTACACAGGTTCTAAATATTCCTGCATGGGTTATAAATCTTCCTAGATGTGTTACAGATCTTCCCAAATGGGTTATAGGTCTTCCTAAACAGGTTCTAGGTATTCCTAAATGGTTCTGGATCTTTCTAAATGGGATGTAGATTGTCCTAAACCAGATCCAGACAGCCACAAATTTGTTCTAGATTTTACTAGATGGGTTCTAGGTCTTCCCAAACGGGTCCTAGATTTTCCTAGATGAGTTATAGGTCTTCCTGGATGGATTCTAGATAGTCCTAAATGGAATATAGATATCCCTAAATGGGATCTAGATTGCCCTAAACCAGATCCAGACAGTCACAAATTTGTTCTAGATCTTCCCAGATGGTCCTAGATCTTACTAGATGGGCTCTAGATCTTCCCAGATGGGTTCTAGATCTTCAGAGCAGGAGGAGCTGGTTAGTGACCAACACCTTGAGATGAGCTGAGGAAATAAGAAGTGACTGTATTTCTTGGGCCATTGGTTATGACACAAGAGATGCATCTGCTTCCCTCCCTGACATTATCTCTTCCTGGCTCAGCAGAGCTCACTGAACAAGGGCAGCACTCAAAATCATTTTGCTCCTGGATTTAATAATGATTTGCTGCTCCACTCTGAGCAACTGGTGCCATTTGATTTGCCCATTTATTAATTCTACTCCAGCACATCGTCTTCAGAGGACAGCTTTGCATTTCTGTGCTTATTTGAAATGCCTTTTATTTGCTTTTCTTGAGCCTGTGCCACAGCAATGCAGATGTCCTACTTTTCTTGTCACTCCTCCTTTTTTACAGCCAGAATAGGCTTTGTCTGACTTGTGACAGCTGGAAAACCCCCAAAGAATTAACAGTACATTGTTAAAAGTCCCATGACATGGAGAACTGTACACAGTTGCTCAGAAGTCTGCTCTGTGAGTCTGTGTCTTTCTGAGCACTTTTCTCTTCCCACTGATACCTTTGCTCAGGTTTTTTTTTCCTATTTCCACCGAGGTGCTGTAACACCTTGTGTGAACCTGCCCAAAACCATGAAATGCAGAGTGCAAACAGGGGAGCATCCTTGTGGAGGAGTATCAACAACCCTTGTTGACGTGTGAGATCACTCACTGACAATTTGTCTGTCCATTCAGGAGTTGTTTGGCTCTTTAATTGCCCTTTAATTACCCCAGTTTATTTCAGAAATCCTTGGAGGCTTTGGAAAAACGTGCAGACACGGGTGTGGCCCAACCAGAACCTCTCCTCTTTCATCCAGGGAGTCGATTCTGTCCTTAAAGCACTTAAAAAGGAGCAGGGAAAATTTTGGCCTCCTGTTTTAAGAGCAATCCTGGAAGCTCTGGCAGTTCAACCAGTTCTTGTTTTCTTCCTCCTTAAAGGGGATTTGAAGTGGGAAATGCCATTCCTGACTCTTTAGCTCAGTGTTTGTGTGAGGTTCTCTGTCAGGCAGCTGCTCTGTGTCACTGCTGGGGAAGGAAACCAGTCTAAGGCAGGAAATACTGTAAATTATCTGTGAATTAATACTTCTGCCATTATTAAAAGGGGGGTGTTTTGGTGCATTTTTGGCTCCTCAAGCTGACTTTCCCTCCGTTGTGTGTTCTGTTAGATTTGAATATAATGTAAGGATGATAATTTAGGGTTTTTTTTCTGGGATTTTAAGGACTTTTTCTCCCTTTCTACACAAGTCAGAGTTGCTCAGGACACTGTAATTTGCTGATGGGTGAACGGAAGTGATGCCTGGGAAATCATCATTAACAAACCTAATTATACAAGTAACTGGAGTAGCTGTAAAGCAGTGGGTTGATAAAATCCCAGTTGGTGCTGCATTTTGAATTAAGTGGGTAGTGGGCAAACCTGTAAATGCAGAAATCATTCAGATACAAGTGTCCCTTCAGGGTGTATTTTTGAATATTGTTCTCATATTCATCATCCTACTACTTGGAAGAAGGTGTTGCTAAGTTGAACATGCTTAGCCTAAATTAACATTACTTTAGGGCAAGAACATGAGTAGGTTGAATAACCCTGAGATTTGATTCTTTCTAAGGCAGTTCTTTGCAGTTAACTCAGTTTGAAAAACTTTATGAAATGATCTGTTTGAAAGATGCAAAGAAAACTTGGCTTCAAACCCTCGCTGGAGATGAGGGGTCACAGGATCCACAACACTTTTATCTGCTCTGTTCTTGTGTAACCAGTGGTGTGAAAACATTTCTAAATTCAGAGTTCAGGAGGGCTCTCAGGGCAGCTCCAAGGCTGTCTCACTGCAGCTTAAACCCAAGCCTGTGCCCTTCTTTGAGATGTTTTTCACAGAAATGTGTTTCAAATCTTTCAATGTGTTTAAAATCTCTTGCAGTTGATGGATGTCAGCGTTGATTTGTGGAAGACCTACAGCAAAATGGATCCTGTCTCCTTGGAGGATTTGCTCTTTGAGGTAAAGACAGTGAAATGTTCTGAATCAACTCAGAGTTGGAGCAAAATTGTTGTGATTTTGTTTGGTTTTAGTAATGTTTATGGACTTAATCTACAGGGTCCTTTTCCTCCTTCTCCCTTTCCTCCTTCTCTTTTTCCTTCTGCTTTTCTTCCTTCTCCTTTTCCTTTTCCTCCTTTTCCCTTTCCTCCTCTTTTTCCTTCTCCTTTTCCTCCTTCTCCTCCTTCTCCTTTTCCTTCTCCCTTTCCTCCTTCTCTTTTTCCTCCTCCCTTTCCTCCTTCTCTTTTTCCTCCTCCCTTTCCTCCTTCTTCTTTTCCTTCTCCCTTTCCTCCTTCTCTTTTTCTTTCTCCTTTTCCTCCTTCTCCTTTTCATTCTCTCTTTCCTTCTTTTCCCTTTCCTTCTCCCTTTCCTCCTCCTCCTTTTCCTCCTCCTTTTCCTCCTCCTTTTCTTCCTCCTTTCCCTCCTTTTCCTCCTCCTTTTTCTCCCCCTCTTCCTCCTCCTTTTCCTCCTTTATCTCCTCCTCTTCCTCCTTTTCCTTGTCCTCCCCTCAAATCTACCACAAACTCTGCAAAACACTAAAATAACTTGCCTTGGATTCCTTGAATTTCTTATTTTGCCTGAAATTCTCCTAAAAACCTTCCTAACATGTGACCTTCATGTCCAAAGTACAGGAAGTCGGGGTGTTTGTGTCTGTTAATCCTCCTTTTGCAGCAAGGAGTGGGAAGAAAAATCCACTTTTAACACAGAGCCATTCTTCCAGGGAAAAAACCCTGATGCTTCCAGGGGAAAAAAAAAAGCACTTTTCAGGATGCTTTATAACTCCTTTAAGTGGGTAACAGTGACACTCAGTGGCTGCCCTGGTGCTTTGGGAAATCCAAACACTGGGAAGTGATTCCTGGTGTTAATGCCATGCTCAGGGCTGGAGGAGAAAGCAGTGCATGAGGCCTAGTATTTATAATTTATTCATATAGATATTTGATGAGTATTAGGATATATTACTCTGATGTTAATTTTTTAGCAGTTTTCAGCTTGGCAGCAAATCAGGCTTTTAAAATGCAGCAAGTTCAGCAGTAATTATCCCTTATTAATAGAATATTGGTAGTTTACACCCATTTGGTTGTTTAATCAACTGCTGTAATGAAAATTAAAATATCACAGAGCTTACAGGGCTCTCAGTCTGAGTAATCACTCTGATATTTCACCTCCCCTTTCCTGTGTGAAAGTGAGATAAATATTTGGGACTTTTCCTACACCTTCTAAGTCTACTCTGAAACAAGCTTATTTATCCTATTTTAACGTTTTAAACCCAAAAGTTGCTGTTAAAAGGACTTCAGATTTTCTGAAAACATCAATTCACGAATGGGCTTTTCGTACAACTTTAATTTTCCAGAAGTTGGTGATTTTAAAAATGCTTAATTTTCTCAGGGAGGGTGAAGCCAGGTGATCTCAAAGAGCATTTGAAGCTCCTCTGTGTTTATATTTTTTTTTGGTTCACCTGCTGAAACCAGGATGTGTCTCATCTTCCAAGTCAGGAGGTGACAAGGGACTGAAATTATTCTTGAGACCACTTTAAAATTGAAAATTTTAAAGGCTCCTTTATCAGCATTGCACACTCATTTCCTTTTATTGATCCTCTGATTTTTTAAATTAATTTGAATGCAACAAATTACCTTTTTTTATTCTGCTTTAGTGAGGTGTTACTGATATTTCCTTTTTTCGCTCCCCAATTGTTTTTACAAATGCAGGGACAGAAATGACTGTGCTTCCCAAATTCCTCACCCTGTTCCTCACTTTCTGTCCATGAGCTTCCTTAGTGTCAGATAGAAATTACTGCAGAACCATAGACTGATTAAAAATTGCAATTTAAATCTCTCCAAGGGGAAGTTTTGTGGAAAATATGAGATCTGGGCTTTGAATTCTCTCAGAGCACTGTAATTCCTTGGGTTAAAAGCAGGTGGTGCAGGGCTGTGGTCCTTCTCCCTCTCCTGCCTTTGCCCTCTCCAAAAAAATCCAAACCCAAACAAACACACAAAAAAAACCCCACAAAAAAAGAGCAGCAAAGTCCTTATCTTTTAAAATACCTTGGTTTTCTTGTATTTCTTGTTTCATTGGGCAGTTTGTGTTCTGTACTGCCCAGCCAAATATCAACATTTGACTCCCTTTCTCTGGAAATTGAATATTGAACGTTTTCCTTGCAGGATTTAATGATTTTTGAACGCCAGTGGACCAACTTTTTTGCAAATTTTGACACCGAAATTCCCTTCATTCTGGAACTCTCGGAATCTCAGGCAGGGGAGGTAGGTCTACTTCAGGAATCCTTGGAAATCCTGCTCTCAGCCGTGCAGAAGGAATAAGGATTCAGCATTAGGGTTATTTTTTTTTTTTTTCCTGCCCCATCTCACCTTTGAGGGCTCTGCAGAGGGACCTGGCCAGGCTGGATCCATGGGCTGATTCCAACGGGATGAGGTTCAACCAGGCCAAGGGCCGGGTCCTGCCCTATGGCCACAACAACCCCCGGCAGCTCCAGAGGGGCTGGAGAGCAGCCAGGCAGGAAGGGAGCTGGGAGTGGGGATGGACAGGGAGCTGAACAGGAGCCAGAGTGTGCCCAGGGGGACAAGAGGGCCAATGGATCCTGGCCTGGCTCAGGAACAGGGTGGCCAACAGGGCCAGGGAAGTGATTCTTCCCCTGGACTCAGCACTGGTGAGGCCACCCCTGGAGTGCTGTGTCCAGTTCTGGGCCCTCAGCTCAGGAAGGACATGGAGGTCCTGGAGCAGGTGCAGAGGAGAGCAACGAGGCTGGGGAAGGGACTGGAGCACAAGTGCTGTGAGGAGAGGCTGAGGGAGCTGGGGGGGCTCAGCCTGGAGAAGAGGAGGCTCAGGGGAGACCTCCTCACTCTCTGCAACTCCCTGACAGGAGGGGGGAGCCAGGGGGGGGTTGGGCTCTTTTCCCAGGCAACCATCAGCAAGACAAGAGGGCTGGGTCTTGAGCTGTGCCAGGGGAGGTTTAGGTTGGAGATTAGGAAGAATTTCTTTGCAGAGAGGGTGCTCAGCCATTGGAATGGGCTGCCCAGGGAAGGGGTGGATTCTCCATCCCTGGAGGTGTTTAAGGACAGACTGGATGTGGCATCAGTGCCATGGGCTGGGAACCACGGCGGGGTTGGATCAAGGGTTGGACTTGATATCTCAGAGGTCCCTTCCAGCCCAGCTGATTCTGTGATTCTATGATTCTATGAAAACCTGTGGTTTGGGTTTTTTTCAGTCACCACCCACCTTAAAAATCCCTGGTATGGTGGTTTAGGATTGCTGGGGCGATTCAGTGGAGTGTTTGCTCACTGATAATTCGATTTAGCTGATTTATACCTGCAGAGCAGATATTTGTGGGTAGATTAACTTCGGGTTTGCTGGACTCTGGTATGTGCAGGGCTTAGCAATTTGGAGTTGCTCATATCAAAATCTCAGATATAACAGAGGGGAACACGAGCCTGGGTGAAAAAACCACAGAATTGGTGCCTTTGAGACGTTTTGTTGCTTTTTTTGAGCAACCTGGACTAGTGGAAGGTGTCCCTGCCCAAGGCAGGGGGTTGGAACTGGAAGGGTTTTCAGGTCCTTTCCAACCCAAATCACTCTGTGATTTTATGGTGATTTTTTACAGAGGTTGAAAGTAGTTTGGGGAGGTTCAGGAGTTTTCTCTGAGAAAGATAATTCAGGTTTGTTCTTAATCATAGTGAGGATATATCATGCTTTCTGTTCTGTCCTGTTACTTGTTAAATTTTTTTTAATAATGATTTTAATATTTAATTTTAATTTTTAAACAAAAATAATAATTTGGGGTTTTTTTTTTCTTTTTTTAATTCTCCACAGCCCTTCAGAAGTTATTTCAGCCATGGCATGATCTCAAGCCACATAACAGATAACAGGTATTACTCATTTTTCCCTGGGAATTAGTACCTCAGTATGTTATTCCCATATCCCTGATGCCAGAGTGCATCAGTTATAATTCCTTTTGGGACCATCTCAGTATTATCACATCTCATATAAAATAAAACCAACATGCAAAGGCACTTCCTGGAAGGGTAAAACTGAATTTTCACGGGATTTAACGCTGTAGTTCTTAAACATACAATGTGATTATGTTTGAAACTCTCCACCTTGTGCATTTGATATGATCCATTTCTTCCCTGTTCCATCCCTGGAAGTGTCCAAGGCCAGGTTGGAGGGGGCTTGGAGCAACCTGGGCTGGTGGAAGGTGTCCCTGCCCATGGCAGGGGGTGGCACTGGATGGGCTTTAAGGTCCCTTCCAGCCCAAACCATCCTGTGATTCCATGACAAAGTTTTAATTGAAAGAGGAAGGTTGTTTGTCTTCTGTTTCAAAACCAAAGTTCTGCTGTTTTGAGTTAAATCAAGGGTTTTTTAGCTACTTCAATGTCTCTGCAGCTTCCTCTTTATTTGGAATAAACCAGTGTCCCTCACTGTTTGCAGCATCCCTTCATGTTTGCACTGAAATAATGAAAAGACAAACCTTGACCTCTCCAGCTGAATCTTGGGCCCAAAGCCAGAACTAAACCCAAAATAGTTTTGTTTCATTCCAATACAGCCATTTCAGGGTTTCTCAAGATGGTAAATTTTAAACATAATCACTTTTCAGTTTACTTTTAAAAAAGGGGGGGGGAAAAACCCCTTCTAATACCATTTGGGAACAGCCTTGAGATTTGTTCTTGTGCCTGACAGAAATTATCATCTTGTCAATGCAAGCAGCTTTTTCTTTTGGAACTTGGTCTTTACAATGGGAAGCTTTGTGAGCCCTGGTAAAATTCACTACTTGGTCCCTCAGGCTTGAAAGCTTTAATTTCATTTGTTTTTAAGTTCCCTGCCAAGTGTTTTGGTGGTGATTCCCTGTTTCCTCCCCAGCCCCAGCCGGCAGCCCTTTGTCCTGTTTGGCAGCCACTCCACCAAGGAAAACTTGAACTCTGGTAACTTTAATTTTCCATCAGAAGGACACCTTGTTCGAAACACTGGCCTTGGTGGGAGCACTGCCAAGCACATGGTAAGGCTTTGGAGTAGTTACCTGAGATTTTGGAGCTTTTTTTTTGGCAGATTTTCTCTTTTTCTTCGTGTGTTTTTTTGTGCTTACCTTCCATGAGTTAAACACCTAATTCTTCTTAACGTAAAAACACGTTAGTTTAACAATTAGTTTAAGGAAGAAATTTTCTTTTTCTTTCTTCTTCCAAGTTATAAGACTGGATGCTTAATCAGGAACTGATGAACGATTTATTTCCTGTAAAAATACAGCTTTTTAAACACTTGTATGTGGGGTGGGGGAGAGGGAAATGCTGTTTGTGAGGACGTTTGTCCTGGTCATGAAGTGAAACCCTTCTATGATGTGTTTAATCCTGACACACAGATATGATTTTAAGCAGATTCCTTAAGAAAGAAGTGAAAAGACACCTTTTTTTTTTTGATATTAGAACAGAATTTTGTGAGTAGACAGGAGATTTTTATGTGTATCCAAATTCCAGCTCGCGTCGATGAAACAAAACCCGGCAAGTGTCGATGAAACCGAAACTCTCTGTGGTGTTCCAAGAATGTTCCAATGAATCTGTGGTGTTCCAGGAATGTTGCCATGAAGTTGTAAAGATTAACTTGTTTCCATTTTCAAGTAAAAGCTTAGTTGGTAAACATTTGATGAGGTCGAAGGCGGCGCAGGGGCCGTGACCGGGGGAGCCACCCCTGGCAATTGGGATCCTCTGGCTGGAGGGGCCTCCTGGCTCCAGAAGGCAACGGGCAGCGAAGGAGGAGAGGTAGAGTGTGGACACCTCCCTGCTCCCTCCAGGGGCTCCGGGAGTGTCCGACAGTGGTGCGAGTCCAGATGGATGTGGTTGAGTCCAGGTCGTCGGGGAGTGGACGGATGAGTGAGGGGATGAGTCCGTGACAACATTCCATGTGCACTTTCCTCAGGGATGGATGGACGTGGGTGTTCTGGACACATCAAAAGCCTGAGAAAGGATTGTTTTGTAGCATCCTGCTGAAACCTCATCCTCCATCTGCTGCTCTAACACACTCTCTCTCTGAAAACACTTTCAACTTTTGTCTTTTCTTCCCCTGATAACATTGAGACCATTTGCTGCCTTTCCGAGTGCGAGTACACTTTTATTCTGATGTACTTGCTCCATCTGTCCTCCTCAGATTCTGATGCTGTTCTTAAAAAAGGTGGTTTATTTACAGGTACAGGTGAGACTGTTGTAATAGGGTGTCATGAAAATAGTAAATAAGACCAGCATAGTTATGGGAACCTGACCCACTTTCCTCTCCATGAAAAGAGCAGTTGGCATAGGAAATTGAGAACCCAAGTCAGAGCTCATCTCCTTCCCAAAGTCTTTCAACCATTCAGGTCGAGTCCAAAGTGAACTAGACCTTTGAAAACGTAAGTTTGCTTTTTCCACCTCCAGTTCCGTGTGTGTCGTAAACTTCCTGTAGTTTGTCAGTGCTTAGAGGACTTAAGGGGAACTTAGTTTATTGGCCATTATTGCACCAATTTGCTTTACTAATGTCTCTTTGTGTCTCATTAATACTGACTACCAGGTAGTGCAGTGTGTGTCTCCCAAGGGACCTCTGGCTTGTTCAAGGACCTATTTTTTTGGGACCAGTCACGTTCCTTTCCTGGGTGAGTACATTAAAAAATGCCGAGGCAGAAACTCTCTTTAATTATTTTTAAATTTGCAGCAATTAAAAGCTGGCTCTGATCCCTTTCTGAGCCTCAGGAGTGATAGGTATTGTGTAGTTCTGTAACCAGGGCATGGAATCATAGCAGATTTCAGGGGTAAAATGTGTCAAGAGGTGAGTGTACCACAGAAAATCTGTCAGATCTGACTGTGCAGGCCTTTCCCAAACACTAGACAAATATTTAAGTCAATGTTCCTTACAGTTTGATAGAAAAAAACTCTCCAAAAATATAGTAATTCAAACTATTTATTATCCTCAGATAACAGGATTTTTTAAAGAAGAGAGGAAATTCTTTCACCCTGTTTTTAATTTTTTAAATTTTATTTAAATTTTTTTTGTTTACATTTCCCTTATCCTCTGGTTTGAGCCCAACATAGTGGGTTACAAACAGCTGTTTTCCCAAATAAAAACAAGCCACATGGAATTTTTAGAGCCCATTTTCTTCCCTGTTTTAAATGGCTGTAAGAATCCTTGGATAAAGTCAGTCCTTAGGGTTGCTGTGTATCTTGAAACCATAACCAGCTTAGAAAATAGCTTAGAAAAAAAGAGAGGATGTTTGGAGCATTGGAATTAGGGATGGATTTGCTGTGGTTGTGCTTTTTCCTGGGCCCCCAGGAATGGCCACACTGGGATACAGGATATGGGGGGAGAGGGCTCCTTGTTCTGACCCCCTGCAGCTGATTTTAGGGGACTCAGTCTTGGCTGCCCTGACACAAGTTGTGCTTTGCTCTGCTCTAAACCTGCAATCCAACTGCAGCAACATCAAATCCTGGATAATCCCACGTGAAATGTGCAGCAGAAATATCCCCAAAGTGCTTAAACCAACCTTTTTTTTTTTGTTTTCACCCAGGAAACGACAACGAGGTGCACAAGGAAGCTGATCAAGTGTAAGCTTTTTATATTATTCCTTAACTCTTCCCTCTTTTTGCCTCGTGGCAGTTGGTCAAACCTGCTTTTAGTGGCTGTTGGCGTTTGCAGAGACACATTTTTATCAGAATAATGTGATTGTGAGAGGGTTTCAAAGGCAAAGTGCTCGTGGAGGGTTTCAGTGGGCAAATTAGGAATTTGCTGTGACCATCCCTTCTGCTGTGCAGCAAAGTAGGAAAGGAAATATTAGTAAATTTTGCTAAATTTTAATAAAAAAATTGTTTTGAGTTACTTGAATAATTTTTAAAGGTACTGCTTATATAGCAAGAGGGAAAGTATCTCAAACTGAACAGGAACATCATCCACAGACAGAAGGAAAAGTAGTTTTCAGACCATTTTCATTAAGTGTAAGATTTTTAGTGAAATGCCAACAGGGAACACTCAAACTTGCAAAGGAATTCACTATGGAAAGTCAGATAAAAGTTAATTTTTCAGTTGGGAAGCTGCAAAGCATTTTAACCTTCTCCAAATCCAAGTGTGTTTATCCATGTCCATGTCCTGCATGTTGGTAGATCCTGTCCAGCTTTAGGAACATAGAAAATCTGCTGTGGTCCTGCTCTCTCTCTCTCTCTCTCTCTTGACAAACCAGACCTTTCCTTAGGGATTTTGTCCTCCTTGGTAGTTGGGATCATTTCAGGAGCCTGGATTTGCTTCTGCAAACCTGCATGACCTGTTAGCAAGAGATTAAAGATGTGTCAGTACTTTAATACTGAACTACTGTTGATTTTGATATAATTTAATACTGTTCTCAAAGACATAAAAGTGGAATTACTGCCCTGAGCAGCAGATTTGTCCTTTTTTTCTAGTAAAAACTCCAACAGGTAATTTTTCTGCTCAAACATTACTTGTCCCACCTCTAAAAGACTTTAAATACATTTCTAGCTGAGATGAGTAGAGAAGCTGTAAACAAAGCAGTTGATAAAGGCAGTGTTTTTATAAGAATACCTTTTTTCTTGGAAGCATCCCTGTGTTGGATGAAATAATCAACAACAGCAGCATAAATAGCTTTTTTTGGCAAACCTGATCTCATGATTTTGGGCTTTTTTTGCAACTGAGTCCTGTAACTGGTTCTTTTTTTGTCAATATTTCCATAAGCAACATTCAGCCCAAATTTGGCTGTATTTAGGAAGCAGGGCTGCAACTTGGCTGGAATGCATAAACTGACTGTACCTCTGAGGATAAACTGGGGTAAACTTTGTAGTTTTATATTTTTTTTCAGAAAATGCCATTCTGTGTTTTGCATTGTCAGTGTTAAAATTTTAAGGTGGGAAGAAGAGTAAAGTATTTATACTGATACACTGATATTAACTGTTGATGATTGATGGAAAGCACAGCCCACTGAGGTGTTCCCTTGCAAATATTTATGTGAATTTGAGGGAAAAGAGGAATGGTCACAGAGTTAGGAACAATTAGACACGTTTCCCATACCAGATGCACTGAAAATACATTGACTGCATATTTAGTCCATGGAATTACATGGAAGAAACCTGAAAAAGTGGTAGGAAGTTTGAATTTTAAAATCACTTGGTGCTATTTGGGATGATAAAAGTCAGGCTTTGGTGCATTTTGAGGTCCCTCCACATTTGGGAGCTTCAGGTGCTCTTCTCCCATCCCTCAGGGACGTTTGCATTTGGCTTCAGTGCTGGATCCTCCTCTTTCCTCCCCCCCTCTCCCCTCCCTTGATACCAAGCAGTGGCAGAGGAGTAATGAGAGGAGTTAAAATTTGGGCAAGTGGGACTTTCTGGTCGATTTGCACATCTTTTAGTTGCAATTCAGCAGGAATTTTGAACTGATGTTTCTTGGTTGGGCACAGGTGGGGTTTTTTTTTCCCAGTTGTTCTGGAGCTGCAAATGTGAAATGGCTGAAAGTCACTCTTGGCTTCACCAACTCTGGTTCCTTTCTGGGCAATTTTTTCAATTCCCTTTTAAGAAGGGAACAGGACTAAGCTGTGGTGTGGATGTCATGGAATCCTGGAATGGTTTGGGTTGGAAAGGACCTTAAAGGTGATTGAATTCCAAGCCCTTGCCATGGGCAGGGACACCTTCCACTAGCCCAGGTTGCTCCAAGCCCTGTCCAACCTGGCCTTGGACACTTCCAAGGATCCAGGGGCAGCCACAGCTTCTCTGCCCAACCTGCCCAGGGCCTCCCCACCCTCACAGCCAGGAATTCCTTCCCAATATCCCATCTAACCCTGCCTCTGGCAGTGGGAAGCCATTCCCTGTGTCCTGTCCCTCCATGCCTTGTCTCCAGTCCCTCTCCAGCTCTCCTGGAGCCCCTTTAGGCCCTGCCAGGGGCTCTCAGCTCTCCCTGGAGCCTTCTCTTCTCCAGGGGAACCCCCCCAGCTCTCCCAGCCTGGCTGTGCCAGGTTGTTGCTCCTTTCATGGCCTTCAGGAGTTGCCTCCCTTGGACAAACAATCAGTGACCCAGATTATCTGGAGGACTCCGTGTGTGCTGCTTTTCCAAGGCTGATTCCAAGGAGACTGATTGCATTGAAATGGAGCTCCCTAAAACAATGGGATGTGATTCTCAACAAAACTGCAGTGAAATTCAACAGGAAAACATGTTTTTACTCTTGCCTGAGCAGGGCTGCATTTGTCTCAGGAGGTACCTCCCCAAAATATTCTGTAACTCCAGCAACTCCCTCACTCTAATTTAATTTTCTCAAACCAAAAGCTTAATTATAAACCTACTTCTGCACTCATTTGAGCCAGGACCCCTTTTTTTATTAAGAGGTTTGTGCAATGAGAGGAAGAACTGCCCCTTTAGGCAGAGGAGGAAGAAAACTCTCCGTGTGTAGTAAATGTGTGTGTTTGATTCTCTCTTCAGTGCTCTGTTGTCGCAAATCTATTCTGCTGTTGTAGAGGCTGTGCTTGCTGGCATTGAGTGCTATGCTAAAACTTCCACTGAATCCAAGGTAAATGAAGCCCCCCCTTCTCTCTCTCGTTGTTCATTTGGATTGCTCACGCTGGGCCATGACATGCAAACCCAAATTAAACCCTGAGAAGAAACCCTTAAACCCCAGATTAATGTCGTGGTTCGTCTGCGTAACGCCAAGGTCAGCCCGTGGCCTCCAACCACTCCCTGAATTCTGCTTAAAAAAACCACCTTTCTGAGTGTTCCTGTTACCCACCTACAATATTTTGCCATCTTTCATGAATTTTCCTGTGAAAGAACAAATTTTAGCCTGGTGCATCAGTGTGTTCCTGTTTAGTGTCTCGTTTCTCTCACGGGTTGTCTCCTGTGGTTGCTGGGATTTGGAAAAGGATGGGTGGGGAAAAGGGGGTTTCATCCTCCATCTCCTTTTTCTTTTTCAGGCAAAGGAGGTGGCAGAGCAGGTGCTCATGGCTGTGTTAGACACCCTTTGCTTGACACAGCTCAAATCTGCTTTACGGTGGGTATTTCCTACAGTTACTGACTGATCTCTTGTCTCCATGGGGAAAAATATCAAATATCAAATATATTGGGGAAAAATATACCAAATATTGATTTAAAACTGGCTACCAAACACTTCACGATGCATTCAGGCTTTTAAAATAATTATAATTGTCCCATTTGCCTGCTTTTTTTTATCACTCCAGTTATTTTGCTCCAGTTCTACTCCTGTTAATTTTTGACGTGTAGAAGAATCCTAAACAACGTGTTTCACCAGTGCAATTTCTCTTCCCGCAGCTCCAAAATTGCTTTTCAAATTCAGGCTGTGAACAATCATGGAAGGTTTGTATCACTGCCTTAGACTTCTTGTTATCAATTAGTGCTTTTAATACCGTGATAAATTTATTTTTCTTCTCTTAGAGCTTCTCTGAGGAAACGTTGCACTCGATTATTTCACACGAGATGTGCAAAAGGCTTTTGTGCATGAGATGGTTGAATGATTTCATAGCTGTAATTCTGTGGAATCCTAAAAACATTAAAAAAAATAAGAAGCAATTGGGCAGAGCAGTTTTATTAACTGTTAATGAGTAGAAGCAGCATGAGCTCATTAAGAGTTCCCTTTTAAAATTTGCTTTTAACTTGGTTGATATCACAAGCTTGTGCTTTTTAACCCCCACGCTGTCTGATTGAAATGGCCTCCACAAATAAGAGCTTATTTTAAATTAAAATAAAATAGCTTTTTTTTTTTGGCTACTTTGGAGCCCCTAAAAATGATCTAACTTCTAAATATTTAATTGTCATTGTTCTAGAATTACCCCCTTAGATAACGAGGACAGCCTGAGTTTGATCAAAACGGTGAGTAAGCCCTTCATTATTTATTATTATTGGTTTTATTTTATTTGTATGGTTTTTATTAGAAAATAGAGCTCAAGTGGCAGGTTTTCTGGGGCGTGTTGAGATCTTTGTCTCTGTAAGAGGAGATATAAGAGAGATCTCAGATGCTGCAACAGATTTAATATTAAGTCAGACCGTGGAAATTGGAATAAAACATTGACGTTAATTAAGATTGATGATCTCAGACTTTCCACCACTGTGGAGAAGTGGTTGTTTGGGGTGCTTAAAACACACAGATTTCTCTGTTTCACTTGAAATATTTCAAGTTGTGCTTTCCCTTCCCTTCCCTCCAACCCTGGGATTGCTGCAGGCGTCCATGATGGTGTTTGACATTCCCGACTTGCTCACGGGAAGAGGATGTTTGGGATCTGTTGTGTTTTCAGAGTCCTTTCTGACATCACAGATACAAGTCAAAGAAAAAGGTGAATATCTGAAATTCTGAGTGTCATTCTCTTGGCTTGGCTGTGCTGGAAGAGCACAAGGGATCCCAGTGGATGTTGTTGCTGTTCCCCTGATGGGTTTGGAGCACTTTTGGTGGGAAGGAGAGCAAAGGAAGAAGCCACATAAACACCAGAATAAATGAGGCTTTCTCTGGAATTGTCCAGCAGCCCTGTGTCTGTCAGAGCACAAGAACACTGGGAGTTAGGCTGTTGTGACTTCACTTAAACACTCATAAATCCTTAAAGCAATGAGAACATTTTCGTATTTCCTGAAGAAATTTCAGCTCTTAAAAGCGACTTATTGGGCAGTCTGAAGTAGGTGGGTGGAATTATGGTTTGGTGGGCGTGGTGGCTTTAGGTCTGAGGCTGGATTTGATGAACTTGGAGGTCTTTCCCATGATTGTCCTGCTTTGCTTCCACGGTTTTCCCTGCAGATGGCAGCATTACTCCAGAAACCAGCCACCTTGTCCTGACTGCAGGAATCCCGAGGTTCACATCCTGGCTGGTGAGTCCACACACACTCACCTGGCTTTATACACCAGGGAACACTTGTTAGGGAAGGAGGGATGGATGAGGGAAAATACAGAACTTGGGCATTGAAGCAGAACGTTAATATGTGAATCTATTTTGATTTTTGAATTTGCACATGGAGTGAAACACTAATGGGTGGAAACAGGCTCTGGATCCGTTCTTAACACAAGTTTGAAATCATTTTTGGCTGTTACAAGTATAACAGAGGGTAACTTCTGGCAAATTCTGCTTATTGTGAGGCACTCTGGATCACCCCAACAGGAAGCAAGGTCTGACTCCAGCCCTCTAATGTGCTACCCTGTGTTAGAGGCAGAATTCCAGTGAATTTAATAAAGCTGAGCAACATTCTGCCTTTGGCAACCCATAATTTACCAGTGGTATAAAGTAAGACTGGATGGGATACACTGTTTTCTGTCCATACAATAGTATTTTAGCCTGTAAAAGCATTTATTGGGGAGAATGTTATGCATTTAATTTCATGCAAGGAACTGTTTTGGTCCCATAATAACACAGTATTAAGAGCACAAAACTGCCTTTGGGCTTGTCTGCCTCTGGTACCTGAGGTTCTTGTTTGCCTCAAAACTTCCTTAATGCTTTTTATTTAGCATTAGACTGCCTTTATTTAACTTGTTTTATTTGACATTAGACTTGCTTTATGTAACTTGTTTTATTTAACATTAGCCTTGCTTTATTTTGTGATATAAATCACAATACAAATGGAAACTCTTTCTGGCTCCAGGTTGAAGACAGTGATGTGAAACTCTCTGAAAAGGCACAGCAGGCGTTGAAGGTAAAATGAAACATTTTTGTTAAACCAAAGAAGTTCCACTTTCATAAACCACTGTGCAAAAAAACTGAGCTCCTACCAAACTGTCTTTTATTTTGTGTGTTATTTCCCTCCTACAAGGCTTGCCTGTTCTTTGAAACTCTGACCTATAAAAAGTACATTGTATGTAAAAGTTTGAGGGTTTCTTTCTGTCAGAGAATGACAAACCCCAAGGGCAAAAAAGAGCTCTAATAAAGCTACAAATTCATGGAAGTCTCACTCAACATTACTCCTGGAGCTCGTGTGTTCCCAAAAACCCCCACAACTCAGTGCCACTCTACATACAAACTTTCTTTTAACTTAATTAGCCTGCTAAATGTCTAAAGGAAAACACTCCGGAAAGAAAAAGGCCTTTGGAATCTGGGAACATCTTAAATCACATGAGTTTCACATTTGTGGTTGACTTTGCGGTTCCCTGGAATGTTCATTATAAGTAGATTCATTTTCCTGCCCTGTCCTTTTAGCTCAGGGGACTGACAAACTGCAAACAAAAAAAGCTCTGCCCTGTGGTTGTGACAATGACTTGGAACTTCACAGCTGCTGGCAAAGCCAAAATGGGGGGAAGGCTCTTCCAAACCATCCTGCCACTGGCCCTGCTGGATCCAGGATAAAACTCTTCATTTCATAAACTTCTGATGGCTGCTGTTTAAAAGAAAAACCTTCTCTCTTGGAGCAAACACATGAGAAAATGTCCTGGTCCTTGATCCAGCCTGTGATGTTACTGTTTGTTTGTTCCTGTTCAGGAGGATAAATCTTTCCTGGGCACTTTACTCACTGGAGGGGATGGAGTGTATCTTTGTTCCAGCAATCCACAGGCCATGCCTGCAGAAGGTGAGATGTGCTTGGGTGGGTTTTTTTTTTTTGTTTGCTTGTTTGTTTTCTTTTTTTTAGGTTTTTTTTTTTAGTTTTTTAAACAAAAGAGACACATTTTCTGGTGAGCCAAACTACACCATCACCTTAAGCTTTCTTTCCATTTGCCTTTACATCTTTCTGCTCTTAAATTCCATCTGTTGTTCTGTTTATCCCCAACCTCTGCTTGAAACTCCTAATCCTGGAAGGAGGATTCCTCTAGGCTTGCTTTGGATGGACAGTGAGGCTTTGCAGACCTGGGAGATGCCTTTTTTCAAAACATGCCTAAAATGGCTGTTTCTGTCTTTAATAGGTGATGTGCCAGATAGTTCCTGCCTTTTCTGTATCTATATGAACATGAGGTTGGAAAGACTGGGCATTACAGTCCTTCCAGCTCAGGAAGTGAAGGCAAATATGGACCTTTACACTGCCCCTGATGTAGGAGGGGATTTATAAACTCATTTACAGCCTTGTATTTGCCTCTACAAAAAGCTCTTCCCAGAGCTGATGTACTGTTCCCACTTTTTCCATTTCTGTTTTCACTCAGGAATTCAGTGTCTCCCAGCACAGGTTCTCACTGTGCTACAGAAAGATGCTTGATCTTGGTTCTTCTCAGGTTCAATCCAGTTACTGCTTTCTGACACAAAATTACTCACAGGAATCTTGGATTATTCCTCCTCTTTTGGCACCTTTTCCTTCAAGAACTTAAGGGAACGTGAATATCCCAGTAATACAACTACAGACAATTTGGGTTGTTGGGAAGGTTTTCCCTCACTTCCCTCATTCCCTCCCTTGTCCCTTGAACCAACAGATGTTTTTAAGGCCTGATATTTGATATTCCAATGTACAGAGAATGTGTCAGTGCTGATGTACAAGAGAGATGATGAATATCTGACATGAAGTTCTCAGCACGAGCTGATGATCTTCAGAGGAGAATTTTCAGCTTTGTAGTTCTGCCATGTGGTGTCCAGGATAAATAATGAGGTACAAGGCAATTAAAAAGCAACTGTCACTTAGAGGAATCTGCTTTTGCTCCAACTGACCAGATTTTAAAGCAAAAATCTTCATGCAGAATATGATATTTAGCTGTTCTGCTGTGGGCACATGTTCACTCAGTAAATAATGAGAGAACGGTGGCATTTTTTTGGCTCTGTTAAAATTTGCTGTTTGTGCCACAGTGGAGCAATTTACTTATTCCCTTTTTATTTTTTTTGGGGGGGAAGATTTATGGAGTTAAATGTCTTGATAACTTTTGGGTTGGAGAGTTCCAATAGGGGGTATCAGGACCATTGTGAGTGAGGGGTTATGTCAGTGGGTGAGGGATTTTCTTGACTCTCAAGTGAAAATGAAGTTGAGCTCGTTCCCTCAAATTTGGGCTCTGATGAGGTTGCAGCTCTGTGATCTGGCACTTTTGGGTGCAAAAGGTGCATAAAATCATGGAATGGTTTGGGTGGGAAGGGGCCTTAAAGCCCATCCAGTCCCACCCCCTGCCATGAGCAGGGACACCTTCCACTAGCCCAGGTTGCTCCAACCTGGCCTTGGAATCTTTCAGGGATCCAGGGGCAGCCACAGCTTCTCTGGGAAATTTATTCCAGTTTCTTACCATCCTCACAGGGAAGGATTTCTTTCCAATATCCAGCCTAAATCTTCACTTTTCCAGTTTGAAGCCATTCCCTGTGTGCTGTCCCTCCATGCCTTGTCCCCAGTCCCTCTCCAGCTCTCCTGGAGCCCCTTCAGGCCCTGCCAGGGGCTCTCAGCTCTCCCTGGAGCCTTCTCTTCTCCAGGGGAACCCCCCCAGCTCTCCCAGCCTGGCTCCAGAGCAGAGGGGCTCCAGAATCCTGGAATGGTTTGAGTTGGGACTGTCAATCCTGCTGATTCCACCCCCTGCCATGGGCAGGGACACCTTCCAATAGCCCAGGTTGCTCCAACCTGGCTTTGGACACTTCCAGGGATCCAGGGGCAGCCACAGCTTCTCTGCCCAACCTGTGCCAGGGCCTCCCCACCCTTCCAGCCAACAATTCCTTCCCAATATCCCATCTAACCCTGCCTTCCTTCAGCTTAAGGCCATTTTCATTAAAACAAAACCTTAATAGTGAACAAGCTTGAAGATGTCATCCCAAGGTGCCATTCCAAGTGGAAAACATCTTTGATTCTTTATTATTTCCTCCCAGCCTTGTTCTGGGAGCTGTGCAGGCACTTTCAGCCATATATTTTAGTTACTTTGATTTTTTTTGAAATGCAACCGAGTAAAACTTGTTTATTTTCTTCTTTTTTTCTTTAAAGAAAATATTTAACTTTTCCCTTTTGCTGACTCACAAACTTCCCTGTGTGGGATGTGATGCTGCTTTTAAATGCAGAGGGCCAGCTGGCAGCCCCTGCTCAGACATTTGTTTGTGGCTTTCTGAAGCCTGTCAGAAATCAGCTGTTTGCTGATACCACTTTCTCACACTTTGATGGAATTTTCTTTTATCCATTATCCCACCCAGCCTTGCTGTTTCTCATTTCCAGCTGCTCTCCTTCATGCAGGTTTGTTAAGAACCAAAATTTAAATGTTATAAATGTCAAAGTGGAATATTTAAACGTTTCAATTTTAAAGTTGACTTTTCAGTTTAAATTCCAGGTTAATTTTTAATTTAAAACTTAATTTTTTAGTTAATTTTTCCCCTCTAAATCAAACTTTAACAGTGTTTGATTTTGCCACTTAAACTATTTGTTCAACGTTTGAATTTCGAGTCATTTGGGATGTAAGCTTTTCTTAAATTCTTGGATTGTCAGTCTTATGTTTCTGGAAGTTTGAAATTCAATGGGATGAAATTTTTTTAACTTTTAAAGAAAAAAAAAAAACCACCTCAGAATATTTATGCTAAAGAGGCTCCAGGGGGTAAAATGAAGCCAAATGCAATCGCAGTGATATATAAGAACCAAAATCCTGCAGGAACATGGATTTTTTTTTTCCTCAGAAAGGAATGACATTCATCACAAGGTGCTGAAATATTGATATATAACTAATATAAATCCTTTTCCTCTCAAACTGTAGGTAAACTGCACTTCTTTTCTGATGGCATCCTCTTTGCTCATCCCCACCACGGCAGCATTTCCATCTCCAAGAAGCACATGAGTTCCATCTCCCTCTATGATGGGGTGAGTGTTTGCTCTGCTTTTCCTGCCATCAGCTCTTTATCAATCTTTAACAATAATTCTGGTGCAAAATCTCCATTTCAGCCCCGTTTCTTACTTCAGTTTTTACCTGTGTCTGTACAACTGTAATAACTGGTGCAAATCTCCACACTTTTGGTACTGATTGACTTAACAAATCAGTGATTAGTGAGTAAAGAGGAGGGAATTTTGAATTAATCTGGGTGAGCAGTTTGGTGTTAATAGTGTGAAAATTGCTTTTGATTGAAGGAAAAATTGCAGAGTGTGACATTCATAAAACATCCACCAGTGTGGAGGGGTGGATAGAGGGAAGGCCGAGGTGTTCTGGTGTCAGGTGGTGTTTGGGAGGGTGAAATGCTGCCTTTTATTCACATTATATTCAAATATCACTTGTTGTGGCTCAGTGGGAACCGAGAGGCCCGTGGTGGCAGCTCAGCTGATTTTTCCTGCTCAAGGCAGCCACTCTGGGTTTAACTATTGCTTCTTCAGAGTGCAAAAGAGATTATTTGGGTGGGCTGCTGTTTTCCTAAAGTGGGGAAAATCCCAATTTCCTTTGGTTGCTCTTTTGTTCGGGTACCTCCAGGTATGATTTCATCCTCTGATCCAGGAAAGCAGTGAAACACGACCCCAGTGTGTGATCCAGACACATTCCAGCACAGGGAATCTCACCCGAGCTGCCTTTCCTTGGACATCACGGGCTGCCCCTTGGAGTTTAAGAAGCTATTTTAACACTGACCTTCCTTCTATTGTTTGAGTCAAGACACTCACTTTCAGAAAGCTTCCTATTTCTGGGACCTGGCCATCCCTGCTGAACTGGTGCCAGATTTTTGTGTGAGGCAAAACCTTGACAGAGAGAATATTATTGTTCTACTGACTTGGCATAATGCAAGGGTGGAGGGTTTGAACTGCTCAGAAGCGACAGGAGAAGCAGGGTAATTGTTCCTTCCTCTTTTCCAAGAGTTGCTGCAACAGTATTCATGGAAAAAGAAAGGTTAATTTAATGCTGGGATTCAAATAAAAGATACAAAGGCTTGAAGTGATGCAAAGTGCAGGTTTTTAGCAGCTCTGTCGCCGTGTTCTGCTTTTTAACTTGAAAATATCTACACTTCTGCTTCAACACGGAGAAACTGGGCACAGAGCTGCTCCTGAGCTCCTGAAATCCTTGAGGCTCGTGGACATGGAGACAGAGTGGATTTTGGCCATTCATCCACAAATATTACCAAGTAATATTTAGATTTCACACCGTTAACATCTTGTAAAACTTGGAATCGGCTCCTTTTAACGTCGTGTCCGTGGGGATTATTGCTGCTGCTTTTTGGCTTTTTTCAGTTTTGGAACCCCAAATGTTTTCCAGGAGGAGGAGCACATTTGTTGGACACTTCACAGGTGTATGAGTTGGCCTTTCAACCACATCCCAGGAAATCTCTGGGCCATCCTGCAGAATCCAGGATCTGTGGGTTCTTAGTCCCAAAAACCATTTTCTTTTAAGAGAAGTTGTTCTCTCGTAGGAGAATATTTTTTGTGTGTTCCTCACTCACCTCAGTGACTTTGAGAGGATTATTTTTATAATTAATCCCTCAGTCAGCAAAGGATGAAGATTCTGTTTGCAAATGTCTCTGAATTGATAGCAGTTCTTATGTAACAGTTCCCCAACTTGAGCTTTTTCTTCTCAAGAATTAGTACATTGAGTTCCTTGCCCAGTTCTGTTGACAGGGAGGTGGATGACATTCCCTTTCTGGTTTGGACCCTAAGGCAGGGAATCCCTGTTTCCCAGGGATGTTTCATGCTGGCAAATTGTCCTGATTTTCTAATACTTTGGTGTGAAAAGAGTTCCAGGTCAAAGCTTGAGCCTGTCTTGAAATCCAGAATCACAGAATCGTGGAAGTGGTTTGGGTTGGAAGGGACCTTAAAGCTCATCCAGTTCCAACCCCTTGCCATGGGCAGGGACACCTTCCACTAGCCCAGGTTGCTCCAAGCCCTCTCCAGCCTGGCCTTGGACACTTCCAGGGATGGAGCATCTAATCTGGGAAAAACAAACAAAAAAACAACCCCCAAAAGACCAAGGGTCAGTGTTTTATAGAACAAAAATCAGACAACCTGAGCTCAGTGCTTCTGAGGGAGACACAACTTGTGGGCTTCAGGGTCCTGTTGGTGAAGACAATTCAGATAAAAAAGCAAGGAATTTAGTAGAACTTGTGCTCAGTGAAGAATCTGAGAGAAAAGGGGCACTTCCAACATGCAAGTGAGCTGCACTTTGAATGACAGGCCTGAGAGTTGTGTCTTGTGCCAGAACGGCCCCTGTCAGGTCAGAAGCTGAAGAGCATGGTGCAGAAAGTTTGCAATAGCACCAAACTTCCAATCTTTTTAGTTATTTTGAAGCATTTAAGTCCTTTTAGGTGGCATTTCATTCATTCTCCATGTGGTGTCTGTGTCAGAGGCGTGTGGGTGTGGATGAAGAAGAGTTTGTTGGGAAGCATTAACAGAAGAAAGGTCTATTTTTTTTTGATGGGGAAAAGAGTAGATATTAAAAAGCAAGCTTTTCTTTTCAAGACAAGACAAAACTTAGGTGTTTAGAAACATCTCAAATCCTTTATTTTAAGCTTCTGATGTCTCCAGGAGCTGCAGAGTAGGAATTCAGGAGGGCTGTAAGTGGCTTCAGTTGACCCTTGTGCTCCATCCCTGTGCCATGGAAACTCAGGAATGCCCAGCTCTTTGTGCCTGGGGGTGACTGTAACAGTTTTTTTCTCATCTCTGCTGTTTGATGCCTGAAACCTTTTTTTCACTTTCAAGAACTGTTAATGGTAACTTGTCCTGTTTTTCCCATTTCTAGGATTCGAACAGTGTTGTTGCTGCTCTCTTCATAGACTTCAAAAGTTCCCTGCTTCCTCACCTCCCAGTTGAATTCCATACCCAGAACAACTTTCTGATGATTGCACTTTTCCCCAAAAGAAAGATTTATAAAGCTTTTTACTCACAGGTAAAGGAAAAAAAAGATTGGTAAGCTTTCCTTAAGTTCTTGTATTGTCAGTCTTATATTTCTGGAAGTTTGAAATTCAACGGGATGAAATTTTTTTAGCTTTTAAAGAAAAAAAACCACCTCAGAATATTTATGATAAAGAGGCTCCAGGGGGTAAAATGAAGCCAAATTCAATCATAGTGATATATAAAATAATATATAAATTATGGGGAACCCCATAATTCCTGTGTTTAAGATGAGACACAAGGGTGAGTTTGGTGCCTGTATTAACTAAGTTTGGAGGGAAGGGGTTTATGTCTCACATAAATTGAGCCACTAAAGCGTGTTGCCTGATGAGTAAATACAGGAAGAGTTAAAATTCTTTCATCAGTCTTCACAAACAAAACCTTTTCAACGTAGAATCAATATAAAATCTGCTGCTTTGGGAGCTCCAGGGTCTCTCTTCCAACTGGGAACTCTGATTCTTTGTGTGACCTGTGGCATCTGCCTTGCAAACTCAAGCTTATCAAGGGCTAGACCATCCCAGGAGTGTTATTGCTCCTGATCTCAGGACCTTGCATGTGTGAGAAGCCTGAATTTCTGTCTGGATTTCTAGGGTGGGGTGGTGTTTGTGCAGTTTAATGCTCCCCATGTGCTTCCCTTTGCCTGCTCCGAGAGCTCCTTTCCTGGGAGCTGCATTTCCATGTGTGTCCTTGGCTGCAGCACTTCCATGGAGTGGCAGAGGTTCTATTGTGTGGGGGTTTTTTTGTGGTCAGACACGTTGGGATCCCGGTTCTTAGGGAAGTTCTGTGGAAGGCTTTAAGTCTCCCATATGGCATTGTGTTATTCCCTAAATGCATTGGCTTCATTCAGAGTGCTGCAGAGGCTTTTAATAAACCCAGCTTGGGAACAATGGTGCTTTTGAGGAAACGAGCCTGGAGATTTTAGGACTTCACAAGGGCTTTTTAGGATGTGATCATCACACTGGACTGGGAAAGACCACCTAGCTCAGTGGGTAGTCCCCACTGGAAGTATTAATGGCACCATAAAATGTCCCCTCCTTTTATCTTAAGTGTTTAAATTCTTCCCACTGTTCCACTCTGTGAATGGCTGGGAGTCTGTTTGGTTTGGGATTTTCAGCCTATTTTATGAGTTCTACTTTTATATCTGTTTTATTTTTCTCTCCTCTCCCAGCACACACCCTTGAGATATCCAGAAATTTCAGACCTATTCTTTCTGCCTTATTTGGCCTAATAAAATAAAACCAGATCCTTTGTAATCTGTGCCTATAAAAAGTTCTCTTTTCTTCTGAATGTTGTAGTGCTTTTCTTTTGATCTTTTTTTTTGGCTGTAGACATCCAAACTGTGTGCAGTGTCTGAGATCATAGAATCATAGATGAGGGGGTTTGTTTCCTGTACAGAGGCATTAACAATTCCCTGCTCTGAAAATGTTCTGAGATCCCCTTGGTTTGCCTTTACTTTTCACTGCTGCCTTGGATTCACAGATTCACAGACCTTCAGGTCCTTCCTCTCTTGCCCATTGATGTTCCAGCTGATTTTAGAAACATTTCTTCCTTTCATGCTTACCTTCCTCTTATTTTTCCTTCCATTTCCTCCCAGAATGTTTCTAACATTCTTAAATTTACTTTTCTATGAGGCATCTCCCAGCTTAGCTCCCCAAAATGCTGTCAGTTCACTTCAACCTCCCAAATTCATTGCAAAGGATATCCCAGGGCATTCCCTGAACAACTCTGCTGCTGGACTTGCCCAGCCTCTGCTGCTTTTTCTCAGAGCTGTCCTCCTTTGAATTCACTTTTTGCCACACAGGGGTTCAATTTCTGCAGTTGAAGTTTCTCATCTGGCCCCACACCAAGTCGCTTTGCTAAAATTCAAGTCAATAAAACAAATCCTTTTGTCTTAAAGATGTTCCCTCCTGAATAAAAACTCTCCATCAGGTGGAGTGCCCCCGACTGTGTGAGCCTTGGAAACTCGTTGTTGTGGTTTGTCAGTTTTTACCTTCAGGTGTTTATTGATTTGCACCAAAATTCTTTCTATAAATCCACATGCCCTTGAAGTCTCACAGACCACAAGGATTCACTAAGATGGAGGTGCTGGTTTTACTCTTCTAAATCATCATACCTCACTTACTGGACCTGTGCTTGGATTATTCCAAGCTTCCTGGAAACAGGGAATGGCAGTTACCTGTTCCTGCAGACCTGGATTTATTAAAAACTGAGGTGGTGGCAGGATTTTGAGCACACAGAGCTGAAATCTGGTTTTACAAATCCTGTGAAAATGGGACAAAACCTTTCACATCCTCCCTCTCATGGGTAAGGGAGAAAGATTTGTTCAGGCTTTGGGATGTGTTGATTTCCCTTGTTTTCTCCACCTTCTCTAAAGCCACAGCAGCTCTTTTGCCTGACCTGTGTTTTCACTTCATCCCCAGCCCTTTTCCTCCTCCAGAATACAGTTTCCCCTTCTTCCCATCCCTTGGAGGCATTTCTTTTAGTCTCTCCTACATCTTTTGAAGTGGCTGTTGTTTTTTTTTTTTTTGGTTGCCTGGATCTTTCTGCACAGGCAATATTGCCTTTGTTAAGATCAGAAAGATCTTTTATTCTGCTGGGTTTTTATCTCCTGCCCTGGTGTTTGGGATGCTGATTTGTTAATGGGAAGCAGTTGTCTCCCCTCCAAGTTGTTTTGTCTCGCAGAAAGTTATTGTGAGAAATGACAATGGCTGTTGCCTTTTCCTTAGGAAAAGAAGGGAAATACCGAGCCCTGACTGTGTGATTCATCTGAATCTGATTTCTAGGTTCACAGTGCCAGTCAGATTAATGTGCCTTGGCTGGAGCAATGGGATGGGAGCCAAAACATCACTCCCTGGAGGAATGAAGGGCTCCCTTTGCTTTCGGGAAGGAGCAGAATTTTTCTTAAATGCCCAGAAATGTTTGCTGCAGTCTTACCTCATGAAAATGATAATAGGACTTAAAAGAGGCTTGAATTAATTCAATTCCTGCTGTTCAGCACTTGGGTTATAAACACCTACATTTTTATCAGGGAAAACTAAAGCGTTTCAGTGAAATTACTTCTTAAAGCAGTTCCAGCCCAGCCACAGAGGTCACAAAATCTGATCTGTGGAGACTTTTACCATCATTTGAATTCATGGAATGGTTTGGGTTGGAAGGGACCTTAAAGATCATCTCATTCCATCCCCTGCCATGGGCAGGGACACCTTTCAATAGCCCAGGTTGCTCCAAGCCCCATCCAACCTGGCCTTGGACACTTCCAGGGATCCAGGGACAGCCACAGCTTCTCTGGGCAATTCTTGCAGCAAACCCAGGATTGTGTAACATTTGATGGCCAGTGAAAATGGCTGAACAAATGGACAATGAATCTCTGAACAAATGGAAAGCAAATTTGGGACAATAACGATGCTCATGCCCAGCTCTGCTTTGCTCCAGGTTTTCTCCTCGTGGCAAAACCAGACAAGCTCAGGATTATCTTTAAGGGTTGTCCAGGAAGAATTCCTGTCTGTGGAACAAAAGAGAATGTAAGTTCATGCCAGTGCAGTGCAATTCCACATAAACTGTGTGCTACAGTCAGAAAAATGCTGTTACTCATTGATTTGGATAAAAATTAAAAAAAGGAATCGTTGCCTTCTTAGTGCAACACTCACTTTATTTTTTTATTGTACTATTTAATATGTAACCACGTGGTTTAAAGAACATCAATGTTTAGGTTTCTCCTTTAACTCATTAATTAATTAATTAATTTGCTTCTTTTAGGCATTCCAGTGTTCAGAAGCTCTTTAATGCCTTGTCTTTTCCTTCTGGGGAAAGATGCAGGGAGCTGAAATTATCCGCTGCCCTTCCAGAACTGGAGAGGTGAGAAGTTATTTTTGTGTTCAGGGGCTGAGTTTTGTCAGAAACGATATCAAATTATTTTGGTACGTGTAGTCATCTAAAAATTGCTTATTAAATAATTCTTAAATCATTCTGTTGTGAGAGGAATTCTTTCCTCTCTAGTTTGACCTTTGGATAATCTTATTTCAGCGATTTCCCGCCTATTTTTACGAATGAAATCTTTTGCTCGTGGTTGTAAAGAAAATAAAACCTTTTCTTTTCTCAAGGTTTGTGAGACATTTCACCATCAGCAGCGTCAGCAACAAGCCAGTGGTGAGGGCACATCTCCCTGTTTTGTTGCAACAGTCAGAAACCACTCCTGAGAGCAAAGCAGAGAGTGAGAAGGTGAGGACAATAATAATAATAATACTAATTCAATACGAACTCAACAGTAATTCCTAGTGTAGAATATTTAATAAATGTTGCCATTAGTGTAATAAAAGCACTGCTGGATGTCCTGTCCAGCCATGCTCTGCCTCCTCCTCCAGCACCACCAGCTCCCACTGTACTGGATTCTTAGAATATAAATAATTTTCCTGGTTACATATTTAGTTTTTTTTCCCACTTAAACAATCTTTTGGAAGTACAAATGGCTTGTGAAATAGAGGCAGAAAATGAGGTGTAAATCTTCAAGTTTTCTCTTCTGTCCAGAGAGACTTGGCCCTAAAGCAGCAGCTTGTTTTTATGAATTGCTGCATAATTTAACTGAATTGTTCTCTGGAACATAAAAGTCCTTTAAATAGCATGGAGGGAGCACATGATATTTAACATTTGCTGATATTATCTGTAGAACACTCCTTTCTCTATAGGGGCAGTAACAATTGGTCAACTTAAGGCCTGCTTTAAATGGCATTTTCAGAGAAAATATTTCCTTGTAACTTCCCAGCATTTGAAACCTGCTGAAAACAACCAAGTCAGAGCAGCAGGAATATAATTCCCTTGGAATATTGCAGTGTGGTGGCACTCATTTCCTGGGATCTGCTTCAGAGACCCTACTGACACTTAATTCATAAACACTTGGGAATGATTTTAAATCTGATTTTAAGGTTGGTTTAACTGCGTGTGTTTAAGAAAGAAAGAAGAACGTGTTTGAATGTGCCCTTTTCATCATAGAAACAAACTATTGGATGTCTTTTCCGGTGTTTCTGTGGTTACTGTCACTTCATTTTGTGTTTTGAGTTAAGATTTTATCAAAATAGAAGCCTTGGGGGTGTTTAATTGTTGTAGCTCATTGCTGATGTTGGACTTGTCCCCTTCTTCCCTGTTCCCTGTTTTCCAGGTGATCATCACCATCCTCACTGGGCTCCCAGGGTGTCGTTCCAGTGATCTCTGTGCTTTCCTCGTCACCTTTACCAAGGAGTATGGAAGGTTTGTACAGTCCTGGTTATATTAATCACCAAAAAAACAACCTGTTTAATTGTTATTTTTAAACCTCATTTCTAATTTGTAAAGAGAAGCGTTATAAGAATAAAGTCAGTAAACATTTCTGAGGTCCTGAAGGGTCTGTTACTTCACTTTTATGACTTCAGGTATCTCACTTAACTGTGTTTCCAGGTAGATTTGCCCTTAAATTTTAAATATTCAGACAGAAAAAATAGCCCAGGAGGTTTCTTTGTTGCTGTTCCATGGTAGGAAAAGCACAGGAATCCCTGCAGATCTCACGTGTACCTGGAATACCACTGAGGTTACAACAGGCAGGAGTAATCTCAGAAGGGCCAAATGAATCCTGCCTTAAGCAAGGATAGAAGGTGCCACAAATTGAAGGAAACGAGTGAAGAGCTTCCTTTTTTGGGGAAAAGACTCTCCTGGCACTCCTTGTTTTTAATGTGACCTGATTTCTATTCTGCAGGAGCAGGGGGTGCGTTCAGGACATTGTTGTGTGGCAACAAGATAAATCTACGGGAGGAATTTTTTCATTCTGTGTGTTGATAGAGCTTCTGGAAAATCAAAAGAAACAGTTGTTATCCTTTTAAATCTTGCAGCCAAACGCCTCAGCATTTCATCTTAGTCATGTTCTGCATGTTTTTCACTTTTAACTCAGCGTCTTGATATTATCAAGTTGATTCAGAGGAGTTTTTTGGTTCTGTTATAGGGCAAGGTGACTTTTGAAGGTTGTGTAATAATACTTTTCATCACGTTTCCTGCAAATGTCAGTGCTGTTTTCCGTTTTTGCAGTGAAATATTTTCATGCCCAGAGTCTTTTGAATTGGATTTGTATCATTTTTGATGTTTACTGCATCGCTGACAGTGATCACAGTTACTGCTGTGATGCACAGCTTTGAAAAAAAGCTGTTCAACATTGTCTTATTAAAAAAACAACCAAACAAATGACACTAATGTAAAGAATGTGCCTGTGCTGGAAAGGACAGAAAGCCAAGTCAATCCCCCTTTCCCACGTGGCCAAGTGGAATGAGCTGATGATGAGATGGTGAGAGATGTGGAATCTTGGGGTTGTCAAAATTTATTTTCAGTCTGTTGGTTCAAAATAAAAAGAGAACAGAAATGTTGTGTCACAGAACGTGAACCCCTTTCCTTGTTTCCTGTTGTTTAGGTGGATTGTTTATAGGCAAACCATGGATAGTCCAGAATGTTTCAGTGCCACCCACTTCCAGAGGTACCTGTCCGGGGTCCTGGAGGCTCAGCAGAACCTCGGGGGCCGTCAGTCCATGTTCTCCAAAAAGAACAAGAGGCTCCTGGTGGTCCTGCAGGGGTAAGTGTTTGAAAACTGTGGGAATGTTGCAGAGAATAAGGGATTTTTCTATTCCCTTCCTATTTCCCAGGCGTTTTTAAACTTTCCCTTTAAGATTCTGAGCTCCAGTGTGGCACTCTGGGAATTCTGTTTTATGTGTGTACTAAACTCAGCTTTTCTGCACCTCTTGATTTTATTGCTTGTTGCTCCTTTGGAAGGAATGTCCATGGGATTCCTTCAGTCATATGGAAGCAATGGGCACTCACAGCCCAGACCCCCCCGTGCCCTGGGCTGATCCCCCAGCGTGGGCAGCAGGGCAGGGGGGGATTCTGCCCCTCTGCCCCTGTCTCAACTGAGACCCCCCTGCAGAGCTGCTCCAGCCCTGGGAACAACAGCACAAGGACGTGGAGCTGCTGCAGAGAGTCCAGAGGAGGCCCCGGAGCTGCTGCCAGGGCTGGAGCCCCTCTGCTCTGGAACCAGGCTGGGAGAGCTGGGGGGGTTCCCCTGGAGAAGAGAAGGCTCCAGGGAGAGCTGAGAGCCCCTGGCAGGGCCTGAAGGGGCTCCAGGAGAGCTGGAGAGGGACTGGGGACAAGGCATGGAGGGACAGGACACAGGGAATGGCTTCCCACTGCCAAAGGGCAGGGCTAGATGGGATATTGAGAAGGAATTGTTGGCTGTGAGGGTGGGGAGGCCCTGGCACAGGTTGGTCAGAGAAGCTGTGGCTGCCCCTGGATCTCTGGAAGTGTCCAAGGCCAGGTTGGATGGGGCTTGGAGCAACCTGGGCTAGTGGAAGGTGTCCCTGCCCATGGCAGGGGGGTGGGACTGAACAGTCTTTAAGGTCCCTTCCAACCCAAACCCTCCTATGATTCCATGGCTGTGCCCTCTGGAGCTGCCAGCACAGAGCAGGGCTGTCAGAACTCTTTGCCTGATGAAAGAGGTGATATTGGAGCAACACTTATTAACATGTTTCTGAGAAATGCCAGTTTTCTTGTGGAATAAAGGTGAAGACTCTGAGCCACCTCTGTTTGACATTTCCATCTCCAGGGTAGCATTTGAGGACCAGGATCACCTGCAGCAAGTTTCCCCCCTCTGTTTCTGAGTCATTATAAGGTGACACAAACTAACCAACACACCCTGACCTGACTGGATGGTTTTGCTTCCCAGGATTCAAAGTGTTCATCTGTTTCACCACATGGAGCTCAGCATTTTCTTCATTATAAACCATTCTGATAGTGCTAAAAATCATCATTTTTTTTCCATTTAGAGCCACATTTACACTTTTTTTCCTTTCCTCAGAGTTAGCAGCAGTGGTGTAAAGTCCAGCAATGTGCAAAATAACTGGTATTCTGTAGCAGCAGTGGCTTCAGGAACAGCTAATTGGCAGTTTTCCATCCTTTCTGGATAGTTGGATATTGGTACAGACAGCTCTAGAGTAGCTGGAATTCTCTAAATAATCCATTAAATTGCTACCTGACAGCACAGTTTTGAGAGGAGGTTGTGACTGGCTGAGAAATAAACACCTGGAATTAAAACTCAGGTTCACTTAAACTTTGTGATCACACAGAAATAGGACCCAGCAGTGTCTGGAGCAGTGAATAAGAATAAACTCATTGATTATATTAAAATTAATAAATACATTAATTACAGAAGCATATTTAAATTGGGATGCTGATAAGTGAGAGGGTGTTGCTTTTTTATTTCTTTTTTTTTTTTTTTAATTTGACTTGTGTTTAATATGCTTGGCATTAGGTATAACTTATTTTTGTTATATTATGCTTTTTCTGCTTCCTGAAAGCTGGACTTTTTATCTTGCTTTTCTCTGTGTGTTGTCAATAATTATTTTTAAGGTAACTCTCAATCAGCTCGATTTGTCTGGATTGGCTTGAATTGGATTTACCAAGTTTTGAGCTGCTTTCTCACTATTCAGTGGACTTTTTTAGGAATCCAACCTTCTTGCTAGTGATGGATTTCTTCCTAAATGGTGGAATGTGCCCTTGTGTTTCTCTAAAACCGTATTTCATTCTCTTCTCTTACAGATACACTGACGTTATTGATGTTGTACAAGCTCTGCAGACTCACCCTGACCCAGATGTGAAATCTTCCTTCCTCATTGGAGCAGTGAACACCTGTGTGGAGCCCCTGAGCTGCTACATGGAGCACAGGTATGCTTTAAAATATATTTACTAGTTTAAAAGCAGATATGTGTGTTTGTAAGATCACTTTTATAATAATTAGGGATATATGATGGTTAAATGCCAGTGAAGTGTCTTAAATCTCATAAAACTTGGAAGTGCTCTTTGATTTATCAGGATGGCACTTGGTTTCCACAAGGTATAGAATTATATTTTATATTAATGAAAGTTTAGCTTCTGGAAGAACAGACTAAATCTGCTTAAATACATAAGTCTAGGTAAGGACTTTGTATAATTTGGACAGCCCCCTGTCCCTCTAAATCGTTTTATTTCTTACAACCCTTTTTGGAATTTGGACTGAAAATTGAGACGTTCGTCTGGGTTTGGGTTATTGATTCTGTCACTGCTTTGGGCCGTTAAAAGAAAGACTTTGCAGCCTTTAAAGGTGGAACTGAAGGGAAGCAATCCCGAATTCAGTGGAAGGGAATGACAAAGCACGGAAGCCAAAGCACTGCAAGTGTTAAAACCCGATATCCTGGGTCACTGCAGAGCCAGGGTGGGGAGGAAACGCTCGCCAAGCCAAGTCGGTGACATTTGGAAACAGTGTGCCTTGGTTGCTGTCTCGTAGTTAGATGTGTGTGCTCCAGACTTCAGCAAACGTGGGAATCATTTCTTAGATTTATCTGTGAAATTGTAACCCTCCCATTTTTTAATTATGCCTTGCAGCTGAGTTGATCAAAGTAAGTCGAAGCAGTTAGAGTGTTCGGAGTTGTTAGCGTTGCTTCTGTTTGTGAGCCAGCTCTGTGCACCACAGCTTAGAGCTGAACTGCCCGAGCAGTTTAATAAAAGTGCATTCCTGAGATTTCCTGGCTGTTCTTAACCACTAACCACTGTGCTGCTTGTGCTTTGCAGTAGTCAATAAATAGACCTTATCTTGCTGCTTCTTCTTGTCTCCGTGACAAAGGTTGTCAAGAAATAATAAAACTCACGTAAACTCCTGGGGATTTGGTGCTGGAGTGCTGCTTAAACTTGTGCTTTCCATAATTGGAGGAAAGACAAGTTCCATTTCTTGTTGGTTTTAACTCACTAACGTGTCACTAGCCCTGGTCCTGAGCAGCATTTAGAGCAGCCCAGCCTGCAGTGCTTTAACAGCAGAGTTTTGTCTCCTCCAGTGCAGGAGCAGTTGAAGGAAGAGACTCAGCCTGTGCTGTGGGTCGTTTTATGTCTTGCTTTGAAGTCTGTTCTGATCAGAATTTACCAAGTAGTGCCAATGGCAGCTCTTGCAGTTGGGCAGCTTTGGTGATTTCACTGTGGGAATGCACAAGAGTGGGTTCAATGTTTGGCTTGAAACTTTTGCAGTCGAGAAAATCAAACCCCTTTCCTGCCTCAAAGTTCATTCCTGTAGAGATCCAGCTCTTCCATGAGCCTGGGATGGAGCTTTTCCCTTCAAAGTTTTCCCTAAAACTATCTTTGAATAGCAAAGCAGAGCAGGGGGGAGAGGGAGTTGAAGTGGGACTCTCTCTAGAGCTTTGTGTGCATGCTAAAGCTTTTAAATTATAAAAATAATGATAAAAATAATTGTCACTTGTCTGACACAGCACCAGAAATTGGCATCATTATTACAATCTTCCCATGAAGAGTTCCCACCGTGCTTGGAAGGCAAAATGTTTTAAGACAAGCATAAAAAAATTCCTGTTGTTTAAATCGGAATTCTGGTGACGTTGAAGCCTTTCTGACTCTCTGGAATACATAATGGATTGTGTGCTGGGAATTAGCTCTTAAATCCATTGGAGAACTAAAACCAGCTACAAAACTAGTTCTTGGGGAAGAAGTCCTGAGAGACACAACCTGTGGGGATGTTCCAGTTGTGTGGAGTGAGGAAAGGAAGCATGAAAATGGTTTGGTTAGTGAGATTGTAGCTGTCAGTGTCCAAACAAATGTACATGTTTTGCTTAAATAACAATATCCATCCTTGATATACAAACTTTTTGGTTTTTTAGGCTTCTTTTTCCCAAGTTCTTGGACCAGTGTTCCCAAGGTAGGTGTCACTTTTCCTGACTTGGTGCTCTGCAGAACAGGCAGCTGAGCCATGTGGCCAAATGAATTCATTTATATTATATAATTAGCTATAAATTCATGTAGCCAAAGGATCATGATAAACTCTTGGAGAACAGACAATCTCTGCCTAAACTATCAAACATCACAGGCACCTGGAGAAGGTGGAAGATTCTGGAGCATGGCCCCTTCCCACCCAAACCATTCCATGAATTCCTGCTTCTGTGGAATAAGTTTAAGTGTCAAGAGCAGAAGCAGATTTGACAGTTGTTCTTTTGTGCAGCTGATGCACAACATTAAGGCAGGACAGAGCATTTCTTTTCAAGGTACCAGCTCTCTCTCCCTCTCAGCATAGAACACGTATTTTCAGGATGAAAATATGAGATATCACTACTGGACTGGTGAGAGAGATCAAGCCAATAACAATATAGAAGCAAAATGACATTATTTATTAAAAGTAATTAAAAAAAGAAGTCCACAGGTAACTCAAATATATGCAGAGGTTTACATATTTTGCTGGATTTTCTGAAGAAGAAACTCTGCTTTTAAGTTTAGATTTGGATCTCCATATATATTTGTGTATATGTATGTAAATGTATATACATGTATATGTAACTGTATATTTACATATATATGTACATATATGTGTAAATATATCTATGTGTATATATACACACATATACATATATATATATATATACATATATATGTATATATGTATTTTTAAGTCACTGTTGTACTGCAGCTGGAAAGTATATAGATGCTGTATATAGATCATTATTTTATTTTTATTTGGAGGAAAATGTTGGTGCTGCAAATTGGGGAAAACTCTCCTGATTATAACCAGGGGGGGATTTTCAGAGGGAAGGAGAATATTAAGAATATAAAGAATTATCAGTAACTACAGAGAAGTTAAAAGTGACAGAATAAAAAAGAAAAATAATAAAATAAATTAAAATAATAAAGCTATCTTTTTTTTTTTTAAAGTGATTTGTACAGACCTAATTGAGGGACAATTTGTCCTTGTTGAAGGAGGAACTAGAAAATGCTCAGGACAGGCACAGCTAATTTTCCTACAGTCAAAATGCTGGAAAAAAAATTACAAATGCTGGAGGTTAGAGGAATATTCTACTGGCAGAGAATTATTTGTGCACACTGGAAAGTTTTGTCCTGTAGTTTCCAGGTCCAGAATGTGACACTGGAGGGCCCAGAGGGCCCCGCGTGTGAAGAAATCGTTTCCCATAAATAGGGGTCATTTTTGTGCAGGAGGTTTTAGGGGGAGAAGTGTGCTTGGAACTGAGATGGGGGACACTCCAGCTTTCCAGGCCAATGCAGAACTGTGTCATGTGTGGTGCAGGGAATTTAGTTCTGTATAATTTATAGAGCCGTGGAGTGGTTTGGGCTGGAAGGAACCTTAAGGATCACAGAGTTCCAACCCCCTGCCATGGGCAGGGACACCTTCCACTAGCCCGGGTTGCTCCAAGCCCTGTCCAACCTGGCCTTGGATACTTCCAGGGATCCAGGGGCAGCCACAGCTTCTCTGGGTGATCTGAGATATCTCTCAACAGAGAGAATTCGTTGTGATTGCACATAATTGAGAATTTAATTCTGGTGCAGCAATAGCGAGATTTACTGAGACATTCACTTTGAGAGATACTGATCCTACTTTTCCATAGGATATTCCATGAGTCTGAGTTGGAAGGGACCCACAAGGACCATCCAGTCCAACTCCTGGCCCTGCCCAGGACACCCCAACAATCCCACCCTGTCCCTAAGAGGGTTGTCTAAACCCTCCTGGAGCTCTGGCAGCCTTGGGGCCATGAGCATTCCCTGGGGAGCCTGGGCAGTGCCCAACCACCCTCTGGGGAAATTCTTGGGGTGTTGTGCACCCCAATATTGTTGTTTGTGTTCCTGTGTCACCAGTGGGCCAAGGCAGTGTTGGGCATTGAACAAATCTGAAAACAGAAACTTGAAAACCAAGTGTGGGCATAGGCAAGTAGGAATGAGTCAGACCTTTGGGATACCTACCTTGTCCACATAAGTATCTTGGAAAATTTGGGGGTGAGTGGGGTTTCCCTTGTGCTGCTGCTTTCCAGGCCTCTTCTGCTGTTGCTTTCTCTGTAACAAAGGGGTCCCTGTGCACATTATTGATGTGACATCATTTTCCATGAGTTACATTCCTGTTTGGAAAGCCCCAAGAGCAGCAGAGACAGATGAGGATGGGGGCAGACTGACGAAGGCTCCAGCAGAGTGACCAACAGGAGCAGTTTTGCTGTGCACATTTGCTTCACCTTTTCCAAAAAAATCCTGCCATCATCTCTGTGCTGTAATTCCCTTTTATCTCTCCTTTCTTCCCTTTTTTAATTCTTTCCTTTCCTGCACAGAAGCTGTAACATGACACCTTCCCAATCCGAGGGCACTTTGGCATCTCTTGTAAAACAGTTTCATATACAACTCAAATTAAGACATCACCATTGTTAAATATGCCCATTGTACATTTGGGAGCAAAGAGGCTCCATTATTTTCCTAAAGCATATGTATTTTTAATCCATCCCTCCTGTTTCTTTCCTGCTCCTATTGAACATGCTATTCCCCAGGCTGCAAGGAATTTTTTTCTTTAGATCAGTGTATAAAGAATCAAACAAAACTGGGTGGTCTCCAAAATGCATCTCTTAGAAGCAGGGATGGCAGTGACAGTTTAAATAGGAATGGTTTGGGTTGGAAGGGACCTCAAAGACTTTCCCATTCCACCCCCTGCCATGGGCAGGGACACCTTCCACTATGCCAGGTTGCTCCAAGCCCTGTCCAACTGGTCTTGGATGCTTCCAGGATGGGATTATGAGCTGATTCATACTTTATCTTATTCATACTTCAGCTTATTCATACTTTTCATTTTAATTGCATGATTAATATCCCCGAACTTGATATCATTTCAAGCCTGCACATAACTTAAATTTTGAATCATGCTTGCTGTTCTCCCCCTTCAAAAGCAAGTGGATATTGGAGAGGACATGGATGTTCCTGAAGTTGGAGTGGAGACCTCTGTGGGAGTTTAAAAGAAGGAGAAATACAGTGATGGAGATTTGTTTGGGGCGTTATGAAAATTTGAGTTTGAAAGGGTCAGTGATGGAAGGAACAGCAATGGGGAGCATATGGTGCAATATAAGTGCCCCAGAAATACTTGGTGTAGGAATTTCTGTGTGAAGAAACCTCTACAGGACTTCTGGAAAGGCCAGGAATAGCTGCAGGCAGCAGATGATGGGATGAACTTCATTACATCTTCTTTAAATGGTGATGGGGGCAGGGGAATTAAATCCTGCTTCAGTTGTTCCTGGATGCTGGAGAGTTTCTGTTCTGCTTTACAGCAAAGTGTCTGAACTGAGCTGCACACCTTGAGCAAAGAAATAACAGTCACCCTAAAATCAGAGAATCATTTAGGTTGGAAAAGCCCTCTGAGATCATCAGGTCCAACCATCAGGCACCACCACCACGTTCACCACTAACCCATGTCCTTCAGTGCCACATCCACAGTTTTTTTAGCACTTCCAGGGATGGTGATTCCACTGCTGCCCTCAGCAGCCAATTCCAGTGCTTGACAACCCTTTCCATGAAGAAATGTTTCCTAATATCCAATCCAAACCTCCCCTGGCACAACTTGAGGCCGTTTCCTTTACGTTTCCTCTCCATTCCTTACACGTTCTGGACCATCCTGACATCCTGGGGAGTCCCAAAGTGTTGGCACTGCAGTGTCTGTGAGGGAACTGGGCTGAAGCTCAAATCATGTATAATTGGGAAGCAGGGATCCTGTAACACTGAAATTAATTGGATTTTTTTCTCTGTTATCTTTTTGATGCCTCGTGGGTTCACACATGTTGTCTGAACACCATTTCGGGGTCTTTCTTGAAAGACAAGAAATAACCCCAAACCCTTCTCTTGTTTTTCAAAGTGGCAGCTGTCAGAGTCCAAAATACTGCTTTTTAGCTGTTTAGCCTCTTTACTGCACGTTGAATTCACCAAGAGGCTTTACGTGTTCGTGGTTTCTTTTAACATAGTCCTGCTCAAATTGATTCTTGTATGAATTCGTTATTTTAATTAATTGAGTCTTTTGAGTCTGAATTGCCTCTGTTAGATGAAAGGTACTTTGCTTGGTTTTTTGTTCTTGTTCTTTTTTTTTGCTCTTTAATAACTGGAGGCAGTGAGAGGGAAGGGAAGTAAGAGAAGAATGGCTGATGTATCACTTAATCATTTCTTTATCGCTGCTTACATGTAAATTATGCTCTGATTTCCTTCCCCAGGACTAGTGAGTAATGTGGTTTTCACAAGTCATGCTACAGAGCAGAGACATCCCCTCCTTGTGCAGCTGCAGAGCCTGATCCGAGCAGCAAATCCTGCTGTTTCCTTCATCCTGGCAGAGAATGGAATTGTAACAAGGTACCAACAATCCCTGTCCAAAATTTATCACTTTTGGCAGATGGGACACGAGCACTTAAAACCTTGTGTTCTCCTGTTTTATTCTGGTGATTTATAGGAAGGAAATGCAGATTTTTCTTAATTGCTTCTCATCTAAAAGGGGTTTTCCCTTTACATTTCTGGCCATATAAATACAGGGATTAGGAAGTGGGGTTTGTTTGCAGAGTGTGATTTATGTTACTGCAACTGCCACACTAGAGGAAAAATACTCTTAATTTTGGTGTCAGTAACACATGTTTTATGTAAGTAAGTAGTGGCTATTTTATGGAATTTATAAAATTAAAAATCTTCATTTTATCTCCTTACAGGAATGAGGATATTGAATTAATTCTCTCAGAAAGCAGTTTTTCAAGTCCTCAGATGATGAGAGCTCGATATTTAATGTACCCTGGCTGGCAAGTATCTAGACTGAGAAGCATGAAAACTACTTTTCCAATTAACTTGAAGATTCAAATGTTTCACTGGCTTCATTTATACTTATTTTTTTTTCCCCCAAGACTACTCACTTGGAACAGGCAGCAGCTTTGTAAATCATTTTTAAGGCAGCTGATGAGTTTTCTTAGTGGGTACACGATTGCCACCCTTTTATGGGGGAAAAGGCTCCTTTCTGGACACCATTTAAATCAAGGGCAAGATTACTGTTGCTTTCCAGAAGAATGGGAAAGAACCCTCTGGGAATAAGCTGGGAAGGCTTGGGATGGGTGAGGTCAATAATGACTGGAGTAATTTCACCCTGACAGCTCTTCAGCCTTTCTGGAATGAACCCGCTCTGTCAGTGGAGCCATTAACAGAACAATTATTCATAAAAGCCAGGACCTCAGTGACAGCCTTGGCACAGGCTGAGGGCACAGAACCACGTGGCACCAAGATTGCCATTGAACTCCAAGGAGATTTTTCATGGATCAGGGCTCTTTACACATCTTGTTGCAGTTATCTGTGCTGCACCTTTTTTGGCAGGAATATAAACCTGTCAGCCCTCATAACTCCTGGCTCCAGTGGTGGCTGTGCTGGGAACATGATTTATTGCTCATACCTTGCCAGGCCTGGATTTGTGTGTGTGTCTTTTGATTCATAAATCTGGTTGTAAATTGGAGGCTCCTGGAGAAAACTGGCACAAAGCTTGGGAGATGTTGGAGCTGCTGGTGGATTGTGTGGAGCCAAAGGGAGAGGGAGAGAAAGCAGGCAAAGAAAGTATTTCATAGAATCATAGAATCTGATTCTATTTAAAACTTTTGGGCAGCTGTTGATCTGTTTGATGACAGTATGAAAGAATTATGTGGGTAGTGTGTTAGGAAAAGGAAAAGGCAGCAGGAAGAGCATCAAAATATCCAGGGAGATCTTTTTGCAGCCTTCCAGTACTTCAACAGGGCTCATGAAGGAGAGGAAGAGTGACTTTTTACATGGGTAGATGGTGGTAGGGCAAGGAGAAGGGTTTTAAAGTAAAAGAGGAGATTTAGATGGGATATTGGGAAGGAATTCCTGGCTGGGAGGGTGGGGAGGCCCTGGCACAAGTTGCTCAGAGAAGCTGTGGCTGCCCCTGGATCCCTGGAAGTGTCCAAGGCCAGGTTGGAGCAACCTGGTCTAGTGGAAGGTGTCCCTGCCCATGGCACTGGCTTGGAAATGATCTTTAAGGTCCCTTCCAACCCAAACCATTCCTTGGCTCTTCCATGAAAAGGAGCCCTGAGCACTTGGAACATCCTGACACTGTTGACGCCGCATTTTCACGGACGTCTTGGAGAAGAAAGCTCGGCGCTTTCCTCCCTGGGTGGGAGGGACCAGATGTTCCTTTGAAAGCAGTTTGGTGGGTGAAAGGCACCAGCTCAGGTGTTTTCTTTGTTTCTGGGTTTGTTTCTGCCCCAGGTACGAAGGCAAATACGGGGCCGGGCCCGTGTTCCCCCCCATGGTGCAGATCTGTGTGTGGTTCAGCCGCCCCCTGGAGAAGACCCGATTCGTGACCAAATGCAAAGGTAGAGCTGAACTTTGCCCCACTTGACTGAAATCCAGCCTTGAAATCCTGAGGAGCGGAGGGGAAGGAAGGCACTGACGTTAACACAGTTATTTACTTACTGCCCAAGTCAACCTTTAATTGAGAATTCAGCTTTCCTTCCTAAAAGTACAGTAAATTCTGTTCCTCGGTGTCTGCTCGGGAAAACTGACACTTGATTTCGTTCAGATAAAAATCTAATTTAGTTTTTGGGTTTTAGGACTGGGACAGTTGTGCTTTTTTTTAAAATTTTTTTATTTGCCATTTATTTTTTATGTTTAATTTTATGTGGTGGTGTTGAAATACAGTTTATAAGTGACCATCGGCCTCTGCTTTTTATGCCAAATAATTCTTTGTAGCTACTGGAAATTAGGCTGAGCTCTGTTTTAGGCAGATAGGGTAGACATATAATCATGCCTTTCCTCGGCCAAGCAGTTTAAGGAGGACCATTTTACTTCCCACACACACTGAAAGCACTTCCTTGTGCCAAATACGTGATATTTCCCAAACCCCAGAGCAGAGAAATGAGAACACAGAGAAATGTTATATGGTGGAACTCAAGGGACACAGCAGCTTTTCCCTTGGAAGCACTGGAGTGTGAATTAGGGATCAGTAGCTGAGGTCTGAGCAGAAGCTGCACCAAGGAGAAGGAAAAATAAGTGAGATAATGTATTTTTCTTCTGTTTCAAACAGCCATTAAGTCGTTGCTCAAGCCAAGCCCTTTTTCTGGGAACATTTATCACATCATGGGCAAAGTGAAGTTTTCAGGTAGGAGCAAATCACTACTGAAGGGTTGTTTTGGGGTCTCACCGTATGCATTTAAGAACTTATTTCTGTGCTGGGTTGTGACTGTTGATGTTAAATGAGATCAACAATTACCAGGGCATTTCTTCCTTCTGCCTTCTCCTTGTTAGACTCTGACAAAGTGATTGAGGTCTGTCACAACACCTCGTCCAATTCCCTGAGCCTGGTGCCTGTCCAGGAGGGGCCAACTCCTCCTGACTCCAGAAATGATCCCAGAGACTGCAGCAGTCAACAGGAATACTTCCTTGTGTTCATTGGCTGCTCCCTGAAGGAAGAGGATATCAAAGATTGGCTCAGAGAAACTGCAAAACAGGTTTGTGGGCAGGTTTCCTTTTGCTTCAGCGTTTGGCTGAAGAAATCCGAGTGTCTCCACAAAACATTTGTATTTTTAATCTCTTTTTAATTCTACCAAGGCGTTGCCATTCTAGGGTGCAAATGTATTTCGCAAAGGGGGGACTACCAGTTTCTGTAATTGCTGTATTGTTTTAGGACTTGCTGCAGCTCATTCATGGCTTGATGTGCTCCTGAATGCTGGAGCAATATGGATTCTGTCCAGGATAAACACAGGATGATGTAGCTGAGCTGTGATTGCCAAGAGCTCGAGTGTGGGGTGAAATAAATCTCCTTCAAGTACCTGAACGCTGCAAAGCAGAACATTTGTTTTGATTCACTAATTGAAACCTCCTTGGAAGTAATCCACTGGAATGGAGGGATCTGCGCACTTTGTCACCCTCAATTAGCCAAGTGTGCAGCTCTGGGAGGCTCCCTGGGTTTCTGCATGGCTGCTGTGCCGCGGCAGTAGGAGCTGGGGGAGGGAACATGGAATGTGCACCGTGGCAGGATCCCAGAAGGCACAGTTTGCACACAGTACTTGATAGAGTCTTAAATTCCCAGAATTACAGAATGGATGGTTTGGAAGGGCCCTTAAAGACCAGCGCATGTCAACCCCCACACCTTCCACTATCCCAGGTTGCACAAAACCCCGTCCAGCCTGGCCTTGGACACGTCCATGGATGGTGCAGCCACAGCTTCTCTGGGCAACCCGTGCCAGTGCAAAGTTTGGAAAATTTATTAATTTCAAATACTCATGATTACGTCTCTTTGCCTTAGGATTTGTGTAGTATTTCTAAAAATTTGTGTAGGAAGGGAAAATGTTTCCTGCGAACTGTTGGAGCAGTTTTTAAGGATCCTCAGGTTCGCACCTCATTTCTGGCAGGTTGTGTCCCTTCAGGGGAGTCATGTATGTTTTGGGGTTGTCTCATGCTCTGCCCATCGCACAGGGGGACCACATGGAAAGAAGTGCTCTCCCACGCTAACTTTAACCATCGTAACTTTAGGAAAACTTGGGACTTAAATGCTTATCTCAAGTGTGAAGTGTTTCCTCTTTGAGCAGTTCAAGACAATAAATAGTCTTTACAATCTCCCCAGTCCTGGCTAATTTAGGGGTTTAGGTAGTTCTGAGAGTTACCACTTGCTGCATGAAAGAAAGGAATTGTAGAACTTCTCAGGCTCAAAATGAAGCTGTTTTTCTGTCCCTGTGCCAGCTTTCTTCATTTCTTACACTAAAGCTGCATTTAAATTACATTGTTTAAAAATACAGGTAGAATTTTTCTTTTCTAAGTGCTTTTTGTAAAATCAGTGAATTTTTATTTTTGCTTTCACAACATAGCACCTCAATATAATTTTAGAAATTATGAGAATAATTTAGAATTTGTGAGCACCTCAATATAATTTTAGAGATTAATGTTTGATCTATTTTGGGTTGGTTTTGGGGGTGGTTTTTTGTGGATTTTTTTTTTTTTTAAAACTAACTAAACTGTGCTGTCACATTGTCACTCAGTAATTGTGCAACTGTCTAATTCTTCCTACAGAAACCTCAGAGGAAAGCCCTGAAAACCAGAGGAATGTTGACCCTTCAGGAAATAAAGAACATTCACGTGAGTAGAAGCAATTCCTTACAAGCCCCTTTTTTTGGCTGATTTCCTTAAATATCCATCTGGATGACAGAGCACCTGCCACAAGTGTGCTGAGCACTGAATTATTACAGCACTTACTGTCTTTGGAGATCCTTGGAACACAACTGGATTGGAGGTATAAATCTTAGAGCTTCCAGTTCCTCTGGAAAGCAGGAGGAGCTGTAAAATCTTGGCCATCTGTAACAGTCCTTCCATTTTAATTTTACCTAATCGAATCTTTTAAGGCCTGTGTTTGCACAATTCCCAGTTTGCAGTGTTTCATTTGTGGTATTTATTCCCTCATGCAGGTGAAACGTCACTTGGATCCGCTCCCAGCTGGTTATTTTTACAACGGGACTCAATTTGTGAATTTCTTTGGTGACAAAATGGATTTTCATCCCTGTATCCTTTCAAAAACGGGGGGTTTGGGGAAAGGTTTTGAGCTGTGCAGTGTCAAAGCACACGTGGGAAAGAGCCAGTTCCTTGCCACTTAAAGCTCAGGGTTGAATTTTTCAGAGATAAGATCTGAGAAGCAGAATAGAACCAACGAAACAATCCCCAAACTGCTCATGAGCTCACTCAGGGAATAATTTATGGGCCACAGCTTGTCAGAGGAATATTTTTCAACCCAAATTGGGCTGTAATATCCCTAAGTGCCTGGGCATGATTGATAAAGCTTTCAAAAGAATGGAATTTTGTCTGTGCACACACTCCACTGAAAACAATCGTATTTTTGTCTTTAATATTATTACTCTGGCATTTCTTGCCAGTGTTCCAGTGTATTCCTGTTCTTGTTCTCCACTTGGGGACATGGGTCAGTGGTGGCCTTGGCAGTGCTGGGTTGATGGTTGGACTTGATCTTAGAGGGCTTTTCCAACCTTAATGATTCTGTGATTCTCTCGTTTTCATCACTTCTCATCGCTTTTGTCTTTGTTTCATTACTGATTTCCCATTTGGTTTTATATTCCAACTTGACTTTTCGCCATAATTCAACAAAGTTCACGAAAATCCAAGTGGCTTCTGTGACGCTGCTTTGGAATAAGAGCAAACAGTTATTTTCTGTGTCCTATGGGACAACATAAAAAATTAAAACAGCAGACTTGGACTTCAGGATTCACTGGAAAAGTTAGGGATGTTTATTCCTGGAAGTGTCCAAGGCCAGGTTGGACAGGGCTTGGAGCAACCTGGGCTAGTGGAAGGTGTCCCTGCCCTTGGCAGAGGGTGCAACTGGATGATCTTTAAGGTCCTTTCCAACCCAAACTACTCTGGAATTCTGGGATTCTTTATTCCCCCTCCACCTTGGTGATTGGCAATGAAAGCTCCAGGCCCTGGTCAATCCTTTCAGCGGGATTTGAATTTTAGGCAGAAATTTTTGGACTTCTGTATCACCAAAATACCTGTAAATACATTCACAGAGTCATGGGGTGGTTTGGGTTGGAAGGGACTTTATGGACCATCCAGTCCCACCCCCTGCCAGGAGCAGGGACACCTTCCACTAGCCCAGGTTGCTCCAACCTGACCTTGGACACTTCCAGGGATCCAGGGGCAGCCACAGCTTCTCTGGGCAACCTGTACCAGGGCCTCCCTACCCTCCCAGCCAGGAATTCCTTCCCAATATCCCATCTAACTCTGCTGTAGTTCTTATATCCTTCCTCCTGCCTGGGAATTATCCCTTGTGCAGCCCCTTTTTTTCCCTGGTCCCACAGTAGTTGTGCTCAGCTCTGACTGCACGACTCCAGAAGGTCATATATTGAATTCCTGCTTTCCCTGAGCATCCCTGACCTGCCACATCCTTCAAACCTGGATGTTTTTTACTAAATGCCATTTACACTGATGTTTTCCCTTAATTTTTCCCAAGTAATGGACCAATTCATGAACGATTACCTGGAAGAAGCCAACAGGGAGATCGAGAAGTACAACAGGGAGCTGGAGGAGCAGGAGTACCACGACCTCTTTGAGCAGAAGACATAAAGCACGTGGGTCCTGGGGGTTTCCAAACCACCCAAAATGCTCTTTGTCCTCGCTGGGTCACTAGAAATTGAGGGAATTGTCTGTTTGTTCAGCACTCCTTTCCAAACTAAGAGATCATTCCTGTAAGGTTGGCGTTTAACACGGGATCTGCTTAGCTGTGTGTCCTGTCAGGTTTGCTTCCACTTCACCTTAATTCCAGACTGTCCAAAGCATCACCTGGATTCTCTGGGGGGGGGTTGTGGGGACTTGTTCAAAAGAAGAACGAGAAGAAGAAGAAGAAGAAGAAAAAGAAAAAGAAGCAAAACTTTATTTATTTCCTGTAGTTGGGAATGTAATCGTGGAATTGGGCTTTGTGCAGAGAATCAAACTGCTCTGGGTGTCCCTTGGAATTTGTGGCACAGGAGCATCGATGAGCAGTGCTGGATATCAGGATGTGGGATTGGGGGTGTTCCCAAAGCCAGAAATGGGGGAACACTTACTCAGAAAAGTCCCTAATCCCACAGCTGTGGGGTGTTCCCAAAGCGAGAAATGGGGGAACACTGGGAAGAACTCTGAAGAGTCCCCAATCCCACAGCTTTTAGGATGTTCCCAAAGTGAGAAATGGGGGAATGATTCAAAAACTTAGGATCTGTAAATCTGCAGCTGCCAGGATATTCCCAAAGTGAGAAAAGAGGGAACAGTTACTCAAAAAAGACCCTAATCCCACAGCTGTCAGGGTGTTCCCAAAGGGAAAAATGGGGGAATAATTAAAGAATTTAGAATAATAACTAATCCCACTGCTTTTGAGTGTTCCCAAAGTGAGAAATGGGGGAACAATGGGAAGAACTCTGAAGAGTCCCCAATCCCACTGCTCTTGGAGTGTTCCCAAAGCGAGAAATGGGGGAACATTTCAAAAACTCAGAATTCCTAAACCTGCAGCTGTTGGGGCGTTCCCAAAGTGAGAAAAAGGGGAATGATTCAAAAATTTGGAATCCCTAAATCTGCAGGTGTGTCAGGGTGTTCCCAAAGCGAGAAATGGGGGAACAGTTACTTGAAAAAGTCCCTAATCCTGCAGGTTTTAGGGTGTTCCCAAAGCAAGAAATGGGGGAGCGATTCAGAAACTTGGAATCCCTAAATCTGCAGCTGTGGGGATGTTCCCAAAGTGAGAAATGGGGGAACAGTGGGAAAAACGTGGAAGAGTCCCCAGTCCCACAGCTGTCAGGGTGTTCCCAAAGCGGGAAATTGGGGAACACTTCCTTGAAAGGATCTCCTTGTCCCACAGCTGTGGGGTGTTCCCAAAGCGAGAAATGGGGGAACATTGGGAAGAACTCTGAAGAGTCCCCAATCCCACAGCTATTGGAATGTTCCCAAAATGAGAAAGGGGAGAGCAATGGGAAAAATGCAGAAGAGTCCCTGATCCCACAGCTTTTAGGTTGTTCCCAAAGTGAGAAATGGGGGAACGGTGGGAAGACACAGAAGAGTCCCCAGTCCCACAGCTGGCAGGATGTTCCCAAAGCAAGAAGTGGGGGAACATTTGAAAATTCAGAATTCCTAATCCCACAGGTGTCAGGGTGTTCCCAAAGCAAGAGATTGGGGAACAGTTGAAACATTTCTATAGAAGAGTCCCTAAACCTGCAGCTGTCGGGCTGTTCCCAAAGCGAGAAATGGGGGAACAATGGGAAGGACTCTGCAGAGTCCCCAATCCCACAGCTGTCAGGGGGAGAAATGGGGCAATAACTAAAAAGTTTAGAAGAATAACTAATCCCACAGCTGTTGGGGTTGTTCCCAAAGCGAGAGATGGGGGAACATTTAAAACCTCAGAATTCCTAATCCCACAGCTGTCAGGGTGTTCCCAAACTGGGAAATGAGGGAACAGTTACTCAGAAGAATCCCTAATCCCACAGCTTTTAGGTTGTTCCTAAAGCAAGAAATGAAGGAACAATTCAAAAACTTAGAAACCCTAAATCTGCAGCTGTGGGGATGTTCCCAAAGCAAGAAATGGGGGAATGATTCAAAAACTTAGAAACCCTAAATCTACAGCTGTCAGTATGTTCCCAAAGCGAGAAATGGGGGAACAGTGGGAAAAAGACATAAGAGTCCCCAATCCCACAGCTGGTAGGGTGTTCCCAAAGCGAGAGAAATAGGGGAATGTTTTAAAAATTCCTAAGCCTACAGCTGTTGGGGTGTTCCCAAAGCGAGAGATGGGGGAACATTTGAAAACTCAGAATTCCTAATCCCACAGCTGGTAGGATGTTCCCAAAGCGAGAAATGGGGGAACAATTCAAAAACTTGGAATCCCTAAACCTACAGCTGTGGGGATGTTCCCAAAGCGAGAAATGGGGGAACAGTGGGAAAAACGTGGAAGAGTCCCCAGTCCCACAGCTGTCAGGGTGTTCCCAAAGCGGGAAATAGGGGAACAATGGGAAGAACTCGGAAGAGTCCCCAGTCCCACGGCTTTTAGGTTGTTCCCAAAACGAGAAATGGGGGAACAGTGGGAAAAACCCAGAAGAGTCCCTAATCCCAGAGCTGTGGGGTGTTCCCAGAGTGAGAAATGGGGGGAACACTTACTCAGCAGAGTCCCCAGTCCCACAGCTGTGGGATGTTCCCAAAGCAAGAAATGAGGGAACATTGGGAAAAATATAGACGAGTCCCCAGTCCCACAGCTGTCAGGATGTTCCCGAAGCGAGAAATGGGGGAACATTTTAAAAATTCCTAAACCTTCAGCTGTGGGGATGTTCCCAAAGCGAGAAATGGGGGAACAGTGGGAAAAACGTGGAAGAGTCCCCAATCCCACAGCTGTTAGGGTGTTCCCAAAGTGAGAAATGGGGGAACATTTTAAAAATTCCTAAACCTACAGCTGTGGGGATGTTCCCAAAGCGAGAGACTGGGGAACACTCACTCAGAAAAGCCCCCAGTCCCACAGCTGTGGGGTGTTCCCAAAGCGAGAAGTGAAGGAACACTCCAGCCCTGCCCAGCCCTCGGAGGTCTCACCCTCTGCACAGTTTGATCTGCACTCGAAATTCCGACTTTTCTAAAGGAAAGGGTTTTATACATTTCGGGGGGGAGGGAAATCGGTGGAGAAATCCCAATTTCTTCCCAGTGCTCTTTTTGGGGTTCCAGGAAATATTCCATGGCCGGGCTGCATCCGCACCTCGCTGCTGCTTATTCCAGTCCTTATAAGCAAGGCGAGGGAAGAGGGAGATCCTTTAGCTGAAGGATTCCTTTTCCTGGAAAACACTGATTTCCAAAGGTAAAAAATAGGAAAGGATGGACTTGAAACAGGGAGGAAGTTTTTCGTGGGGCTTCCAGAAGGATTTGATGTAAACCAAGTTTTATAGTTCCTAAATGCTACGACAGGAATGTTGGCGGCTTGTCCTAACTTAGCTCAGTTTAATTTTAAGTCAGGCCTTTGTAAATCACTGACTGAAGGTTTATAAAGTACCTCAGCAGCTACTTAATTGCAGGTATTAATTAGTGGATCTTATTGGAATAAGCAGATGGTGTGGTCAGAATTTAGGTGGGAAGAGCCCAGGAAGGGTTTTTTATTTTCATAGTCCTGCCCCTGAGGGACAGTTCAGTCTTTTAATACAACTGTAACTTTTATTTTTTTTGGTCAGATCTGTGTAAACCAGTGAGAAACAGACTGAAAAATCTCTTAAAGTGTTTAAAATACTTACAAAGTGTCTGCACAATCTCGTTCCGTGGCAGGAAAATGAGATTTAACCATCCAACCTAAGGCTGATTCCAGTTTATGCCTCGCTTAAGAGATGGATTTTTTTACCTTTGGAATACGAGATGGCTGAAATTGCAATAACCTGAAACGCCTTTCAGGTGGTTTCAGCCCTTTTAGGTGGTTTCACCCTGGAATTCCAGGTGCTGCAGGCTGGGATGGAGACGTTGCTAAGGTTTCATTCCCAGTTTTCCCTCCCTAGATTTAAAAAGCCGAATTTAGGACTTTATTATTTTAAGGGTTTTTTTGCACACCACGAGACTTTATATAAACTCCTTGTGTCCTGTTAGAGGCCAGTAAAAGCCAGCAATTAGTTTGTGTTTTAGGCTTCCCGGGATATTCCCTGGATCCCAGGGGTGGAGCATCCTGAGAAGGCTCGTGAGTTTATCTATGCATGGCTGAACTTTATAGTCTTAATATCCTGTAGTGCCTGTAGAGCAAAGGTAGCAAAGCAGTGGATTTAGGGGGGGAGGGAGGGGGCTGGCAGGTGTTCACAGCTAAAACAGATGGAATGATTGATTCCAGAATTCCTGGAGTTATCCAATCCTGGCTGCAATAAAAAAGGGGGCGTTAGGGAATCGAAATCAAATGAAGAGTTTGTGTCGCCGATAAAACTCCTCGACCTGCTCCTTTCCAGCCCCGGTTGTCTCATCTGCAAAGCCATATTTCTAGAGTTAGTGGGATGACTGTGTAATGTCAGAAGAAATTCCAGAGGTTGGGACTTTGTGGTGGAGGCTTTGTCTCGACTCCTGAGTAAAAAAAAAAAAGAGTAGATTTAAGTGCAATTGTTTGAAAAATAGATGAAGATGCTGTAGCTGCTGGGGTTCTGCTGAACTCTTTTTAAGAACTCCAATTTGTGCAAGCTCTCAAATCCATGCTGATGGGGCTGATCCAAGCTGGGATTCCAAAGCCCTGTGAACAAAAAAAGAAAAAGAAGAAAAGGAAATAAATATTGAAAATTGGGCGGTTTTACTGTGCAAATTGAGCTGTTCCTTAAAAACTGGAGCAGGAGAGCTCGGAATAAAGGCCTAGTATCCTTCTCTGCTGTGCTGCATGTTCATGGTCATAGCTGTGTATTTACAAAAAAAAAAAAAGACCTTTCACCAGACTGGGAAATGGCTCAATTCATGTATTTTTGGTATTGAAAGAAATTACCTCAATTTTTTACTTTTTATTTTTTTTTTGAACTGTGACTTTTCAACCAGAATTTCAAACAAACAAAAAAAAAATACCGAAATAGTGAAACTGTGACAGTTGGTATCCTTGAAAAACGTTGTAGTGCCTTGGAGTGACACCATTTATTCCCCAAATAAATGAGTGTCGGGGGGGGAGGGGGTCAAATCCCCCCCTATTTTTTTTTTTAAAGAAAAACAGTTTTGGTGAAAGGACTTAAATTATTTAACCTAGTGACAGATATATAGCACAACTGGTTAAACTGTTGAAAAGAAAACTCTTTGAGGACTAAAAATGTGTCAATGCCTGATGCTGCTGATATTTGAGAGCGGCTGCTGGTTGTTGGGGAGTTATTTCTGAACAATCAGCAGAGCTTTTGTGGTTTTTTTTATAGAAAAGTGTAACTTTTGTACTCTGGTCAGAGCTGTTTGTACTGTATCGACCCCCAGCCAAGGGGGAATCTGATTCCTCCCTCTCTGGAAGTGGAGGGGAGGATGGAGCAACTCCCAAGGATCTAATTTTTGAATATTTTTAGCTACTGTACAACTTAAAAAAACCAAAACAACAACAACAAAAAAAGCACCATTTGAACCCACCAATGTTTGGATACAGCAAAAGTGCCATTACACTTCCTTTCTCTTTTAATGTGTCGGGAAAATTTGTGTCCAGGCATTTTTTTTGTGATCCTGGGGGAAAAAAAAAAATGTGCTGAGAGTCCTCAAGGGGTTTCCACGCTTCGCTGATCTCCACGTGAGCAGCTTGTGGTGGTGTTTTTTTATTTCTTTCTCCTCACCAGGAATGAGTGTGATCAGAAGTTACTGAAGTTATAGGGAGAAAAATAAATAAATAAATAAATAAAAATGTGAGAAACTTAGGAGAGGAACCTTTGCAGCTTGAGCTGCTCTGCAATCCGGGAGTATTCGATATTAATCCGTGCAATTTGGTATTTAATCCACTTTTTTTTACACTTTGCATTAACACAACCGGTTGCAGGGGGGAGTTGAGCTGTGTTTTAAGTTCCCTCATAAGTTGGTTTTTTTTTGTTTTGTTTTGCTTGGTTTTTTTTTTAATTATCGTTATTTTTTAACGGAAAACTTGTCTGAATTTGCACAGAAAATTTAAGCTCTGGAATACTTTGGTATTTCTGAAAAAGGGAAAAGAAAAAAAAAAAAAGTTGTGGCTAGTATAGTGAATTGTGTAAACTGTGAGTTGGTAGAACCACGTGGTCGATCTTAATCGTAGATTGTTCAAGATGTACCTCAGAAAGCTCTTTGGTTTTTTTCCACAGCACTCAGATGTAACACTTCTCACTTGACAACGTGCCAAAATTCACTTTTATACTAGTTCTCAATGCTTTAATATTTGCAACTTTAAGTTAAAAAACAACAAAAACCCCCCACGTGTTCTTTACCAACACTACTGTAACTTCAGTTCAGCTGAATGGTGTGATTGAAGCTTTTTGCCTCTCGTATTTATTACACAACTTTGAGTCAGTAAAAGATAAAATTTGACCTTTCCATTTATTTTTGTATTGTTTTACATGTTTATACCTTGCAGTTTGTGTGACTTTTACACCTGTAACTCAGATGTGATGGAAAGAACCAATAAACAGTATCCATCCACTGCCTGGCCTTGACTCCTTTAATTAACTCACTGCTTCCTAAACTGGGATTTTTAAACTTTCATTTAAAATTCGTTCATTTTTTTGAAACAGGCAGAAAGGTGAGTAGTTTATATTTGAATTAAAATACAAAGATTTAAGGGTTTATGGGGTTTTTTAGCTGCTGGTTTTAGTTTAGACCTCCCTGCTTGTGCTTTTAATGGGGTAAAATTTAAATGTAATTGTAGGAGGAAGGATTATTAACCTGCTTTGTGCTGCTGTCTCTGTCTTCCAACAGCTGCACATGAGCATGAGTTGATCACTGCAGACACACAAATGCAGTGGCAGCCTCATGAAAATGAGGATGCAGCTCCAGGCTCAGCTCCCATGGATCTGAAATCAGGCTGCCACAGAGAGGCCAATCCCACCTTACCCTCCTTTCCCTGCCTCGGTGGCTGAGCTGAGTCAGATCAGTTCTGCTGATTAAATTCAACCTGCAGGTGATTTGCTGTCTCCTCTGGCATCACTTTTGGATTTCTTGTAGGAAGGTTTTGTGCTCAATTTGATTTTTGTGAAGGGTTTATGTAAACCCAGCCTGGTTTGCATATTCCAGGTGTGCACACAAGAAACAGCAGCTTCTGGGGCATTCCTGCAGTCCAGGAGTGTTCCCTTGCTGTGCAGCTGGGTTGGGAAAGCAGCTTCCACTTGTAAATCAGGAATTTGTGTCCCAGCCCCAGGGCAGTGCCCGTCCCTGTGCTGGCACTGCTGGGGCACCTCCAGCCCTGGGGGCAGCTCTGGGACCCTCAGACAGGAGAGACATGGAGGGGCTGGAGCGTGTGCAGGGAAGGGAACGGAGCTGGGAAGGGGCTGGAGCAGCAGGAGCAGCTGAGGGAGCTGGGGGGGCTCAGCCTGGAGAAAAGGAGGCTCAGGGGGGACCTTCTGGCTCTGCAACTCCCTGACAGGAGGGGGGAGCAGGGGGGGGGTCGGGCTCTGCTCCCAGGGAACAAGGGACAGGAGGAGAGGGAACGGCCTCCAGTTGTGCCAGGGGAGGTTCAGGTTGGATACTGGGAAAATTCCTTCCTGGAAAGGGCTGTCCAGCCCTGGCACAGCTGCCCAGGGCGGGAGTGGAGTCCCCATTCCTGGAGGGATTTCAAATCCCTGTGGATGTGGCACTTGGGGACAGGGGTCAGTGGTGGCCTTGGCAGTGCTGGGGAACAGTTGGACTGGATGATCTCAGAGGGCTTTTCCAACCTTGACAGCGCTGTGATTCCATGTTGATGGAAGCCACCAGTTGTTGCTTCAGCATTGGATCAATAAACAGGATCCATCCCAAGGACACCAAAACCTTTCCCAGAGGGGTTGGATAATCGACAAGCTTTGAACCACCAGCAGTGCTTCCTCACGGGGGATCAAGGTTGACTCTGCTCTTGGTGGCCTCAAGAAAACAGTGTTTGGGGGCAATCCCTGTGTTGCAGGATCAGAGGGACTATTCAGGAGCTCTGAGGAGAACACCCAAGGTGTGGTGGTTTTATCTGCTCCCAGTTTCAAACCCTTGCCCATCCTCCGGTGGAACTGGCAGTTCCCCTCAAGGCTGGATCTCACCCGCTGCAGTTTCCACCCTCTGCTCACCCCATGACCTCGTGTGGGGCCCTGACCTCCATCTCTCTCCTCCAGACTGCGGCTGTTAAGTGTCCACTGATTTTTAAAGCAGCCAAAACCTCAGAGAGGGAAGTTTTGTGTGTGTGTGACGTGTTTGAAACACCACGAGCACGTTTAAAAACTTGTCATTTCCGTGATCTTCTCTTTCAGGAACAAACCATAAAGGTCCCAGAAGGTCTCCTTTTTGATCCAGCTCCTGTGAGGGGCTCTACAGGTCCATCCTTTTTTTAAGTGGTTACTTTGTGTGCTGTGTCCTATTCCCACATTCCAGTGCTGACATGGGGAACGGAACAGGTGAAGTCTCTGTTCCAGCAGGTCAGGCAAGAACAAGCTGAGATCCTCAGGGATCTTTTCTGCCTTAAAAGAAAAAAAAAAATCTTAAAATTTAACTGGGTTTGGATCTTTTTTGATCCAAAACAACTTCTTATTGCCTACAGTAAGGAGCACGGATGGAAGGGTGTCCTAGGAGCTGGAAAGCTCCCTGTGGGGAAGCACCTCAGGGGGTTGGCTGGTTTGTCTCCCTTATCATCCAGAGTGTTCCCTGTGAACTGGAGTTTCTCCTTCAATAACTCCTTTTCTAGGGAAAAGAAATTTGGAATATCACAGAATCATGGAATTGTTTGGGGTGGAAAGGACCTTAAAGATCATCCTGTTCCAACCCCTTGCCATGGGCAGGGACACCTTCCACTAGCCCAGGTTGCTCCAAGCCCCACTTGTAGGCCACTGGGATAACCTTTGCTTTTCTGGTCCCTTGTGCTCAGGTATGAAACATTCCAAACCCAAAGTTTTTGGAGCAGTGGCCAAAGATAAACACAGATTGGATGCTGGGAGGCAGGTCTGGAATGATGGGAGCATCCTGCTGTCTTGAAACTCCTTAAAAAGGAGTCAGCGAAGAGCAAACCCCTCAACTAATCATAGAATCGGAGAATGTTGGGGTTGGAAAAGCCCTCTGAGATCATGGAATCCAACCATGGATTCCAGCACTGCCAAGGCCAGCACTGACCCATGTCCCCAAGTGCCACAACCACAGGGATTTGAAATCCCTCCAGGGATGGGGACTCCAATACTGCCCTGGGCAGCTGTGCCAGGGCTGGACAACCCTTCCCATGGAGAAATGTGAAGTTTAAAATGCTCTGAGAGGGGCTGGATAATGGGGATAAAGGGAAACTACCAGAGTTTGATTTCCTGAGAGCGATGAGCTTGATTTTCCTGGATGAATCCAAACATATCCCTTGAGTCAGGGGTTTTAGTCCTGTTTCTTGCTCTCAGTTGTCTCATTTCGGTGACTCTGGTTGTGTCTGGAGAGGTTTCAAGCTCTGCTTGGCTTTCCACGAGCTCCTCTGCCTTCCCTGTGAATTCGTCTGGAATTTCTCTGCCTACGTGTCCACCAACAAACGGTTCCTCTTTAATCTTCATAATTCTACAGCCTAATTAAAGGAATGAATTCCCAGCAGGAATTGCCTGGAAAATGGAGCACTTGTTAATTGAATAGCCCTGGGCTTGGCTCCCATTGTCCACGTTCAACAAGGTGCTCCTGTGATCCCTCCTATTGAATTGGCTTAAAATAAACCTTCGGGGCAGTTTGATGTCTCGGTAGGAAAGAAAACACCCAATGGGCAAGGCCTGGAGGGTTTCAATGGCTTTATTGCTCCAGGACAGACAGAGGGGAAAAAAAAAAAAAAGCATGGAAAGGAAAATCTGGGTGCCCCATTCATGGCTAGGAAGTCACACAATGCATTGTGTGGGTCAGTGTAAAACCGCCCCACACGAGCGAAACAGGAAATTTCTAATAGTTCCAATGGAGCTCTACCCCACCAAAAACCTGCCATTTTTCTGCTTTATCAAAGTTAGTTCAATATTTGCTTTATATACATCCTGTTCCTGACTTTGATTCCCCCACACACTCACCTTCCTGCCTCCAAAAACCTGATTTATTGCCGAGCCCTTGTGCTGCTCCCAAAGCTTTGGCTGCGCTGCTTTAACTCTTTATCTTGTCAACCCCAGACGAGGGTTTGGCCAAGGGCTTTCCTTCTCCTCTCCTCCTTCCCTGGAACCCTGGAGAAAGGATAAGTGAGGAGCTGGCAGGGATGGAAGGAAGGGTCACAGGGTCTTCAGGAGAGAGAGCTGTGGAATATCTGAGGTGCTCCAGTGGGTGGGTTTTCCACGTTGTCTCTGATTCCAAGCTCAGTGTCCTGCTGCTGGAGCTTGGATGAACGAGCACGGGAAGGAAAAGCGGGTCCTAGTTCCATGTGCTCACCCTCTACATCAACTTCCTCTTTCCTAAATCCCAGCTTGGGATCATAAAATCATGGAATGGTTTGGGTTGGAAGGGAGATGAGGGATCACCTCATTCCACCCCCTGCCATGGGCAGGGACACCTTCCACTATCCAGCATTGCTCCAACCTGGCCTTGGACACTTCCAGGGATCCAGGGGCAGCCACAGCTTCTTCTTGTTTGGCAACCCAGGGTTCGAATTGGGTATTTTGCATCTTACTTTATACTCTATTTACTTTATGCATATGGAATTCCTAGTCCAATATAATTTTTTCCCCCCCCCCCCCCCCCCCCCCCCTCCCCCCCCCCCCCCCCCCCCACCCCCCCCCCAGCCCCCCCCCCCCCCCCCCACTCCCATCTAACCCTGCCCTCTGGCAGTGGGAAGCCATTCCCTCTTGTCCTGTCCCTCCAGGCCCTCGTCCAAAGTCCTCTCCAGCTCTCCTGGAGCCCCTTTCGGCCCTGGAAGGAGCTCCAGGGTCTCTCCACAGCCTTTTCTTCTCCAGGCTGTGGAGGTTTCACTCACCCTCCAAGGTGCTGGATTGGGATCACTGCCCTCCCCATGCTCCGAGGTTTTTGCAGCCCTCACCCCATCCCAGGGAAATGGGGAGGAAGTGCCCTGCTCCAGGGCAGGAGGGATGTCACCATCACTCAGGGAAGGTCCCAAAGTCAGGTTTGATGCCGAAGACTGTTGAAAGACGTGTTTCCTGTGCAACAATAGGGAATTCTGTTGTATTTCCCTGTGGAACCTCTTGAGATAAGGTTGAAGTCCATCCTGTAGCAGCAGACACAGCCCTTCTGCCTGTGCTGGCACGAAGAAGAGCACAGAGACAGAATTACAAATTGTGGTACCTCTTTTATGACTTGAGCTGTCAGAGCTGACCTGCCCCACTCGGTGTGTTCCACCCTGAACGGACCGCCAGGATCACAGGACAAGGGGGAAGGGCTTCAAAGTACCAGAGGGCGGGGTTAGATGGGATATTGGGAAGGAATTCCTGGCTGGGAGGGTGGAGAGGCCCTGGCACAGGTTGGACAGAGAAGCTGTGGCTACCCCTGGATCCCTGGAATTGTCCAAGGCCAGGCTGGATGGGG